TATTGTTATTACACCATGTTAAAGGAGTATACATAAAGAGGGTGGATATTAGTTGACTTTGATGTAATGATAAAAAAAAATCTAATCAAGTGGGTTAAATGGATCCAAATAAGTGGATCAATCTGATCTTAGAAAATGTACTGAGAAAGGAGGAGGCAGACAAGGGTAAATTACATTACAGGAAAAGACACAAAATCCTATTACAGCAGAGGGAAAGAAGGGAGGGGAGCATTGTTTGAACCTTACTCTCATCAATTTGCTCAAGAAGGGCATAACATAATCAGTTAGGTATAGAAATCTAACTTGCCCTATAGGCAGTAGGAGGAAAAGGGGAAAGAAAAGGGAGGGGGAAAGAAGGGAGGGAAGAAGCAGTAAGAGTAAAGGGGAAGAAAAGGGAAAGGGATAATAAAAGGGGAGAGGGACTGAAGGAGGCGTGGTCAAAAGCAAAACACTAGTGAAGGGGGAAAGGAAAAAGGAGAAAGAAAAGCATAAATGGGGGGAAAGGATGGAGAAAAAGACACAGATAGTAATCATAACTGTGAATGTGAATGGGATGAACTCTCCCATAAAACGGAAATGGATTGCAGAATGGATTAAAAACCATAATCCTACAATATGTTGTTTACAGGAAACACATTTGAAAAAGAGTGACACATACAGGGTAAAGGTAAAAGGCTGGAGCAGAATATATTATGCTCAGCTGAAGTAAAAAAGCAGGGGTAGCAATCCTGATCTCAGACAAAGCAAAAGCAAAAATAGATCTAATCAAAAGAGATAAGGAAGGAAACTACATCCTGCTAAAAGGCACCATAGACAATGAAGTAATATCATTACTAAACATATATGCACCAAATGGTATAGCATCCAAATTCTTACAGGAGAAGTTCAGGGAGTTACAGGAAGAAATAGACAGCAAAACTATACTAGTGGGGGACCTGAACCTCCCCTCTGCACTAGATAAGTCTAACCACAAAATAAACAAGAAAGAAGTTAAGGAGGTGAATAGAACATTAGAAAAGTTAGGTATGATAGACCTCTGGAGAAAACTGAATGGGGATAGAAAGGAATATACTTTTTTCTTGGCAGTACATGGCACATACACAAAAATTGAGGGCATAAAAACCTCACAATCCGATGCAGAAAGGCAGAAATATTAAATGCATCCTTTTCAGATCATGATGCAATAAAAATTATATGTAATAAAGGGCCATGGAAAGATAGACTAAAAAATAATTGGAAACTAAATAATCTAATCCTAAAAAATGATTGGGTCAAACAACAAATCATAGAAACAATCAATAATTTCATTCAAGAGAATGACAATAATGAGACAACATACCAAAACCTATGGGATGCAGCGAAAGCAGTTCTTAGGGGAAGTTTTATATCTCTAAATGCTTACATAAATAAAATAGAAAAAGAGGAGATTAATGAATTGGGCATACAACTAAAAAAACTAGAAAAAGAACAACTTAAAAATCCTCAACTAAACACCAAATTAGAAATATTGAAAACCAAAGGAAAAATTAATAAAATTGAAATTAAGAAAACTATTGAACTAATAAATAAAACTAAGAGCTGGTTTTATGAAAAAACCAATAAAATAGATAAACCTTTGGTTAATTTAATTAAAAAAAAAAAGAAAACCAAATTACTAGTATCAAGAATGAAAAGGGCAAAGCTACCACCAAGGAAGAGGAAATTAAAACAATAATTAGGAATTATTTTGCCCAACTATATGCCAACAAATTTGACAATCTTAGTGAAATGGATACATATTTACAAAAATATAAATTGCCCAGATTAACCAAGAGGAAGTAAAATACTTAAATAACCCCATCTCAGAAAAAGAAATTGAACAAGCCATTGATGAACTCCCTAGGAAAAAATCTCCAGGGCCAGATGGATTTACATGCAGATTCTATCAAACATTTAAAGAACAATTAATTCCAATACTATATAGACTATTTGGGAAAATAGGTGAAGAAGGAGTCTTACCAAATTCTTTTTATGATACAAATATGGTGTTGATACCTAAACCAGGAAGAGTCAAAATAGAGAAAGAAAATTATAGACCAATTTCTCTAATGAATATAGATGCAAAAATTTTAAACAAAATACTAGCAAATAGATTGCAGCAACTTATCACAAGAATAATACACTATGACCAGGTAGGATTTATACCAGGAATGCAGGGTTGGTTCAATATTAGGAAAACTATCAGCATCATTGAGCATATCAACACAAAACCAACAGAAACCACATGATCATCTCAATAGATGCAGAAAAAGCTTTTGATAAAATACAACACCCATTCCTATTAAAAACACTAGAAAGCATAGGTATAAATGGAGTCTTCCTTAAAATAATATAGCATCTATCTAAAACCTTCAGCAAGCATTATATGTAATGGGGACAGGCTAGAAGCATTTCCAATAAGATCGGGGTGAAACAAGGATGTCCATTATCACCACTGTTATTCAATATTGTACTGGAAACCTTAGCTTTAGCAATAAGAGAAGAAAAAGAAATTGAAGGCATTAGAATAGGCAAAGAAGAAACAAAGCTATCACTCTTTGCAGATGACATGATGATATACTTAGAGAATCCTAGAGAATCAAGTAAAAAACTACTTGAAATAATAAACAACTTTAGCAAAGTTGCAGGCTATAAAATAAACCCACATAAATCATCAGCATTTCTATATATTACCAACAAAGCCCAACAGCAAGAGATAGAAAGAGAAATCCCATTTAAACTTACTGTAGACATTATAAAATATTTAGGAGTCTACCTCCAAACAAACCCAGGAACTCTATGAACACAATTACAAAACACTTTTCACACAAATAAAATCAGATCTAAATAATTGGAAAAACATCAGTTGCTCATGGGTAGGCCGAGCTAATATAATAAAAATGACAATCCTACCTAAGCTAATTTACTTATTCAGTGCCATACCAATCAAACTACCAAAAATTATTTTATAGAGTTAGAAAAAATAATAACAAGATTCATTTGGAAAAAAAAAGGTCCAGAATATCAAAGGAACTAATGAAAAGAAATGCAGGGGAAGGTGGCCTAGCAATTCCAGATCTTAAATTGTATTATAAAGCAGCAATCATCAAAACTGCTTGGTACTGGCTAAGAAATAGGGAGGTGGATCAGTGGAATAGGTTAAATATGCAAGACACAGTAGTCAATGACTATAGTAATCTATTATTTGATAAACCCAAAGACCCCAGCTTCTGGGATAAGAACCCACTCTTTGAAAAAAATGCTGGGAAAACTGGAAAAGAGTATGGCAGAAACTAGGCATAGACCCAAATCTCACACCATATACCAAAATAAAGTCAAAATGGGTTCATGACTTAGATATAAAGGCTGATACCATAAGTAAACTGGGAGAACAAGGAATAGTTTACCTATCAGATCTATGGAGAACAGAAGAATTCATGACCAAACAGGAGATAGAGAACATTATGAAAAGCAAAATGGATAATTTTGATTACATTAAATTGAAAAGTTTTTGCACAAACAAAGCCAATGCAACTAAGATTAGAAGGAAGGTAGAAAATTGGGAAAGAATTTTTACAACCAGTCTCTCTGATAAAGGCCTCATTTCTAAAATATATAGAGAATTAAGACAAATTTATAAGAACACAAGCCATTCCCCAATTGATAAATGGTCAAAGGATATGAACAGACAGTTCTCAGATGAAGAAATTAAAGCCATCTATAGTCATATGAAAAAATGCTCTAAATCGTTATTGATTACAGAAATGCAAATCAAAACAACTCTGAGGTACCACATCACACCTATCAGACTGGACAACATGACAAAACAGGAAAACGATAAATGTTGGAGAAGATGTGGGAAATTTGGAACACTAATACATTGTTGGTGGAGTTGTGAAATGATCCAACCATTTTGGAGAACAATTTGGAACTATGCCCAAAGGGCTACAAAAATGTGCATACCCTTTGATCCAGCAATAGCACTTCTAGGGCTATATCCCAAAGAGATCAAACAAATGGGAAAAGGACCCCATGTACAAAAATATTCATAGCAGCTCTTTTTGTGGTGGCAAAGAATTGGAAATTGAGAGGATGCCCATCAATTGGGGAATGGCTGAGCAAGTTGTGGTATATGAATGTAATGGAATACTATTGTGCTATAAGAAATGATGAACAGGCTGGACTTCAGAAAAGCTTGGAAAGACTTATATGGTCTGATGCTGAGTGAAGTGAGCAGAACCAAGAGGACTTTGTACACAATAACAGCCACGTTATGCAATGACTAATATTGTTAAACTGAACCCTTCTCAGCATTACAAGGATCTAAGACACTTCCAGAGGCCTTAGGATGGAAAATGCTGTCCACATCCAAAGAAAGGACTATGGAAGTCGAGTTGTTATCACATATTTTTACCTTCTGTTGAGTTTTGTTTCATCTTTCTGATGGTTCTTTCTATTGGTTTTAATTTTTACTTACAACTTCACTAAAGTGAAAATATGTTTAATGGGAATGTAAATGTAAAGCCTATATCAGATTGTGCACTGTCTTGGGGAGGGTGGGGAAGGGGAGGAAAGGGGAGAAAAATTTTAAACTCAAAAGCATATGGAAGTGATTGTTACTAAATCAAAATAAAAATAAATTTCTTTAAAAAAAGGTTTTTTGGGGGGACAGAGGGGTAAAATTATCAAGTTACCTTATTATAGGCCAAGTAACATATTCCTGGGAACTAGGTAGGACAGTGGCAGGTGTGATAGAGTGATGGGCCTGGAATCGGCAAGACCAGAGTTAAAAATGTGCCTCAATCACTTACGAGCCCAGTCATTGTGGGCAAGTCACTTATATTTTGTCTGGCCCAGTTTCCTGGTTGTAAGGATCACATGAGATACCATTGTAAAGTGCTTAGCATAGTGCCTGACACATAATAGTCGTTATATAAATGGTTATTACCTTCCCCCTGCAGATAATTGTTCCTTTGTTTTAGGCACTACTTTCTGTGAAGCAGGAAAAAGAGATTCAAATGAAAATGATACTGACCAGAGGAGAATGTGTTCTACAAAATACCTCTCCAGAAGGTGTTCCTGCTATTCAGCAACAATTACAGACTGTCAAAGACATGTGGTCTTCTCTTTTGTCCACTGCCATCCGTTGTAAAAGGTAAGAGGAGGTAGGGTTAAAAAAAATCAGAATTATGTTCCAAAATCATTAGGATTACAATCTTTATACCAGTCCATCCTCTCACCCTCCCTCTTTACCTTCCTCTTTTTCCTCTCCCCTTCCTTTCCTCCTCCTTCTTCTCTTCTTCCCCTTTTTTCTTCTTTCCTTCCTTCTTTTCTTCCTTCTTTTCTTCATACTTCTATTTCTCATACTCCAATGTTGTTTTAGATTTATTAGCATTTTATGTATATATTTTCAAATTTTATTTTAGTCAATTGGAAGGAGCTCTGTCTAAATGGACAAGTTATCAAGATGATGTTCGACAGTTTTCCAACTGGATGGACAATGTAGAAGCTAGTATAAATGAATGTGAAAGGCAGTGGGCAGAACTTCGAGATAAAACTATGGCCCTTGGGAAAGCAAAGGTTTGTGCCTAATTTTATTTAAAATCTAAAAACATTTTGAAATATAATTACAATTCCTATATAAAAATGTTTGAGAAGTTGGTATCTGGGGATGTGGTTAGAGTTTTGAAAACTTGATTTTAGGTTGTTGTGTTTTTATTAATAATGAGATTCTTTCCCATTCCATGTGTGAAAACTACCAAGTGAAAGCAGAAATTAAAAATGCTTTTTCTCTAATCATTTTATTTTAGTGATTCTCCACAAGATAAGAACCTATACTGTTTTCTTTTTATAATCCTGGAGGGACCAAATGTATTTTATATTTACTTCTAAAATTTTTATTTTTTTCCTATATTTCCTTACTTTCTATGTGAATTCTTTATGATTAAAAAAAGTCTACTTTTAGATTCTTTTATGGCATTATCTTTCCTCATAATAATTATCCTTTTTGATATGGTAAAATTATTTTTACAACATTAATTTTTCCACTGTGATATTCAGATTTAATATTCTCAGGGAATTAATATCCTCTGATGATAAAACAGTAACTTTTTTGAAAAATGACACTTTATTTTTTCAGGATTATAGTGACCTTTTAGATTTGACTTAAAGTTCTCAATCACTATGAAAAATCTGATATATTTAGCAGTGGAGATAAAAAGAATACCATACTAAAAGACTTTGTGCTTTTAAAGGTACCATTTGGCTTTCTTGCATACATATATAATGCATGTATGCATATATGTATGTGTGTATGTGTTTATACATACATATACAATTGCACGTGTAACATATATGTATATGTATGTATGTTATGAAGTGAATCATTTGCCCCGTATCATATCCAGGGGTGTGTGAGAACCAGCATCTACAGACCTCAAATAGCCAATTAAAAAAAATTTTCAGCGTAAGCATTTACACCTTGGAAATCAGCAAATGCTCTAAAATAGACTTGATTCATTGTTATGTTGTTTGTCCAGACTTTAAAAAAAGGGATAGAGAAAACGCAAGCTAAACTTTAAAATGTGCTGTGCATGTATTTCCCCCCCAGAGATCCTGTTATGTGTTTACCAGAATAGTATTGCTCACTTCCTTTATATTATATCCATTCTTTCTCACTGCCATGAGATATACATGAGTGCTATAGAAGCCCAGAATTGTCCCGGAAGGAAGGAATTTGTCCCCACTGCCAACTTGACTGTAAGAGCAATTAGCATTATTAACCACCACAAATTTCAAATCCAATGATTTGTCTACATTTCTTGCTGTTTTTCCAATTAATGATTATTTTTCCACTGTTTTATATGGACTATCCATCATGGAAATGTCGAATGAGCTCTCTTTTGTATCTTGCTAGGTATTTTGATATTTCTTACTCTAGTGTAGTGCCAGAGTTGTTTAACAAATATTTCTTGGCTGGCTCATTAAAATGTGCTTTTCAAATAGACACTTTTAATTGAAATTTGAATGTGAGTCAGTGCATGTGGTGAATCCCTGCATATTGGTTTGTGGTTTTTTTGTTTGTTTGTTTTGCATATGTTTTCCAGTTATTGAATGAAGAAGTACTGAGTCACAGCAGCTTGCTAGAGACGATTGAGGTAAAGGGTGCCGGAATGACTGAACACTATGTGACACAGTTAGAACGTCAGGATCTCCAAGAACGGTACAAAGCAATTGAAGACAGGACCAAGGTAATGTCCATAGTAATCTACAGCAGTACTGCAGAAAGAAGCAGAGGTTAGAATTCTATATCTTTACAAATAAATTATTTATTTATTTTTACTAGAGTTTGAAAATTTAGAAGCCAATTTAATGCACACATTGGTGAATACATTAAATATTTTCATTACAAATAGATACATAAACTTAATACTTCATCAGTTACATTAAGGAAAAATACCTAAATTACAGGATTATGATTTGGAGCTGGTAAGGGCCTTGGAGGTCACTTAGTTCCTAGTTCAAAAAGTATTTTTTTAGGTAAGGAAACTGAGACCTAAAATAGTTAAATGGCTTGTCCAAAGACACACATTAGTAAATGATGGAACTAAGAATCATACCCAGTTTCTCTGATTCCAAGTCCAACACTCTTTTCACTGAAATACGCTGTGATAATATTTTAATACAGTAAAATAAAAATGGCCATAAACACCTAATCAGGTGAATTCATGAAATGGGGGGAAGTCCTGGCTTCATGGTAAGGCTTTATCAAGGTTGTAATTATTGTGGAATGATTTATTCAAATGCTTGTTCCAGAGTCTTGCTCTGTTGAATCCTCATGGTACTTTGTTGACTCAGTTTTCTCTAACACACACGACCAGATGCAATGTCACCAGAGAGCAAGCCTGTCCCTGCCTAGTTATGAAGTGGCTTTCAGTAAGGTCTTAGTGATGGACTGGTTAAGTGTCTGGGGTCACACAAATTCAGAAAGGTTCGTTGCCAAGTTGACTGCAGGGTGATGAATTTTTTGGGCAAAGTAACTTTGAAAGGCCAATTTTTATGTTCATCAAGGAGTTGTAAACTGTGTCAATGAAGAGAGTAGCCACTCTAAAGGATTCATAGATCCTTGAAACTTTGCATTTTATTTTAAATTGAGTTTTCTATAGGAAATAATAAAAGCCTTGAAGATTTATCGTTCTCTAACAATGGCTACCAAACAACAAAAGCATTTTACCAATGAAAGTCCTGTTTGGCTAGGGTAAATTAGTAAAGTGAGCTGTTGCATTTTGATCAAGTGTGGTGATAAGCTTCTGTGATACTCTGAAAAAATAAATTGACTGCTGAGTCTGAAATGTCAGTTAAGCTTGAAAAATAACAACAAATCAACTTAAAAAAATAATCATAGCTGCTAATAGTAGCAGAATTGACTTAGTTCTTTCCAATCCATGTTGTTTAATAGCAGCAGCAGCAGCAGCAGCAGCGTCACTACCATTCATTTGTATATCACTTTAAGGTTGCAAAATTCTATATCTTATTTGATCCTCACAACAATCCTGAGAAATAGATCATATTATGATCCTCATTTTACTGCTAAGGAAACTAAGGCAAACAGAGGTTAAATGGCTTGACCAGGATCACACAACTCTAAGTGTGTGAGCCCAGATTATGAACTCAGGTCTTCATGACTCCAAGTTTAGCACTGCATACATCGTGCCATCTAGATGGCTTTGAACACTGAATGAGGAAGAGCAAAAGATAATTCCAATAAAGGATAGCTATGCGTTGAATAATTAAGAATAGACTCATCTCTTTTGCAAACAAAAGCTGTAGCAATGAATCTTTGAGTGTCCCATATAAACTAATGTTTAAGATTTCTTGCTTCTTTGAATCCTTTCAAGGCTTAGTTTTTGTTTTATTTTGTTTTTCCCATGTATTAATAAACATGCCTTTAGTCTGAAATGTTAATAGAGTTTCCATTTAGAGAATCATTATGAAATCGGATAATTCAGATAAATCCAAGCCTTGAAGACAGGTTAGCTCATTAGAAAAAAATTAATTTATAAAAAAAAATTGGCCCATTAAATGGGCTTCAGAATTGGACATAACCCAATAAAGAAACAACATTGTCCATGACAAAATGTCTCATCTTGCCTTATCACCTTGCCAGCAGACTTTTTGTTTAAGTAACTGGGCACTGGAGGACACAATTATTTGACTTGTGGACTTACTGGTATGGTTGTGTAGTATGATGGAAAGAGGATCCTTGCTCTGTAACTTACCATGTGATATGACCTTGCCCTATTGGTGGAAACAACATGCACATACTTAGTATCCAAAAATTGTGCATTTTTAAGCTTAAAACAGAAAGTAACCTAAAAGTCTCAGTGCAGTTTGCTCTAAGGCTTCTAGGACACCTCATATATTGGTATTTACAAAATGTATAAAATGTAACTTTAGGGAGAAAGGTACTAGGAGCAGCTGGGGAAACCAGGAAATGTCATGGTTAGGATAACATTTCAATTAAGTCCTACATGAAACAGAAATTCTGGGAGGTAGAGGTAAGGAAGGAACACACCTCAAAAATGGACAACAGGCAATGAGAAGGCAAGGAGATGGAGTGTGGCAGGAAGAGTCAGCTTCACATATGCTTAAAATGGATGGTCAGTTCATTGGATGGTTCATTTTTAGTCAGATACTAAGGCTGCATTTTAAAAGTGTAACATCAAGCTTACATTTATTATTACTAATAGGAAGCAGTAGCCAAGTGTGAGAGGCTTGTTCGTCTTCACCAAGAATACCAAAGAGATCTCAAGGCTTTTGAACTTTGGTTGCAACGAGAACAAGAAAAATTAGACCACTTTTCACTTCTTGAAGGTGATGCTAAGACTCATGAGACAACATTACATGACCTACAGGTAAAGTCAATTTAATTTTGAAACAATTGACATTTCAAAGCTATTTTTGTGATTATTGCAAGTAGTGGGCATGTGATATATCTATTTTTAACTCCAAACATAACAATTGCAATAAAAATCTTTATTTCACAATTTTAAAATAATAATTGTATTTATGTAGTGCTACAAAGTTTACGAAGCACCACATATATGTATATACATAAGTATTTATAATTTTGTGTAAACCTCATAAAATCTTCATGATGTAGGTATAAGGAGTATTATTATCCAAATTTTATATATGAGGCACAGAAAGGTTAAGCAGCTTGTCCATGGGTCACACAAATAGAGTGACAGAGTCTATAAACTCAGGTTTCCCTGATTTCAAACCCCCACACTCTGTCCACTCTTTGCCTAAGGAAGCATCATCAATTACTTGAAAGAGAATAGGGTTAGAATCTACTCTTCGGCTCATAATTACTGTTTTATAACTTTAAGCATGTGACCTACCTTCTCTGTATCTCAGTTTTTCCATCTGCCAAATAATGGTTTCCCATAGTTTTTGTTTGACTCAACCTGTGATTTTTCTGCAAAGGAAGCTCCTGGTAAGGAACCAGTTGACACTTCTCTGAAACTTACAGTCTTTAACAAGTGTCTAGAAGCATTGCATAGTTAAGTAACCTGTCCAGGGTCACAAAACCATGTATGTCAGAGGCAGGATTTGAATCCAGATTATTGTATGTTCAAGACTAGCTCTCTCTCCACCAGGCCATACTGGTTAACTTACACAGCATGAAAAATTCCATTTACATAAATATAAGCTGTTATTATTATTGTTATTAAACAAAAGGTAATAAAAGAGTTTTCAGAGTCTTATTAAATGGTCTAATGATCTCTGAAAATTTTAAGGTATTAATGCAGCTATGCCTACCCAAGAGTTAGGAATTCCTTTTAACAGTACTGACTTTTCTTTCTCTTAATGACCCATATTGGTCTTGATGCCAGGCATTTTTGACAAGGAAAAGGACAGCATTCCAAGCTTCTGTTCTTAGAAATCCATCCAATAATTAACTTGTGGCTTTTGGGTGTTTCTTGTTTTCAGGCCAAATTACTTGAAAAATGTTCAGTAGTCACTCAAGTATCAAATTTGAATATATTCAGAATGTAGCTCACATCATCAAAGAATTTAGGTTTAAATTTCATTTAATTTTATTTATCCAACAATCAATGACAATGGTGTTTTATCTTCTAGTTGTTGATGGTAAAAGAAGACAGTTGATAAGTATTTTGCTGCTATTATATAGAACATATATAATGCTTAGTAAATACCTTATACTTATTGTGGTTGGCACACTTTCTTTTGATCAAGTCTACTAGAAAAGTTTCTAAAAATGAAATGGCTGTTGCAAAGGGGACAGTCTAAATTTTGCTTTATATGAATTCAAAATTCTGAGCCTAACCGGCTAGTTCTGTTTGTGTGTGTGTGTGTGTGTGTGTGTGTGTGTGTGTGTGTGTGTGTGTTTAAAGGCTATTATTATGAACTTTGGCTTCTAAATCATTCAGTAGCATCTTGTTACCAATATCTCTAGGGAATATTGTGCAATGCTATTGAATTGTGCCCAAATTTCATTATCCTCATATGATTATGCACACTGTAATATTTTATAGTAAACGTCATCTTCATCACAAGAAGGCTGGCCACAGAAACTCATAAGGATTATCTCCCAAGTACAAAGAGGTTGTAATCATTACTGATGGAGTATGTATACCTTGGAAATTACAGGCTCTTAGAAGTATTTACAGATAGTCTTTCCTTCCTCAAATATTTCTTAAACTTCTGTTTTATCCTAGTGATCATGCTAGGTTCTAGGGCTACAAAGATTTAGTTTTTAATTTCTTCCTAAGGAAGTTTATATTTTATTGGGATGAGTTATTTAATAGACAATTTGATATTTAATTCCATGCACCAAACATTCATTAAATGCCTACTATGTGCCAAGCACTGTCTTAAGCACTGGAAATACAAATAAGAAAAAGAAAGATAGCCTGCTCTCAAGTAGCTTACAATCTAATGAGTGAAGACAACACACAAAAGGAAACTGGAAATCGAGGTGAGGGGGTGAATGATATGGGGTACTTGGTGCAGGGTAGTATCTTGTTCCATGGAGTTCAAACCAAGCAGAACTGCAGAGGGAAAATGAAGAGTGAGCTGGGAAGTTCAAATCCTGCCTTCTGGAGAGGGAAGCTTTAGAAGGTGTTCTATTCATCAACCCTCAAGTCAAAGGGGAAGGAGGCCAAGGGACTTGGAAAGGTGTTGAGCACCTCAGGCTGAGTTAGATAGCATTATGACAAGATATCAGATGCAAAGGGGAAATGAATGTGTAATGAATGCTGAAATTTTTACAACGTGATCTTTTCAGGTTATACTGAGTTATTTCACACAGAATGAGAACAATGTCCACTATATTTACAACAACATAAAGTACCTATGTATCTCTGTTACTTCAACAGATAACCCACTGATGTGGGTATTCTTTTCATTAATATAAATGGCAGTCCATCCATGTCTCTCCTGCCTGTGTGACTCCTGTCCATGGCCTCCCATCACTCTGCCACAAGAAGTCCAGTTAACATCTCTTGACAGTCAGTTTGCCAATGGAAAATATGGACTGGCAAGCTTATCTTCTGAAAAATTTGTTTTACATCCTTCACGCTGCTTTTTCTGTGTAATTCTACGTTAATAGATGCTGCAGCCTATTTACTCATACTGCATGCTTCTCCTTTGCTCTTAGAGGAATCCTTAACATCAGTTCTCCAGAGCTTATAGTGGTCAGTGACTCCTAGCCTTTTAACACCTCCAAAAGAACATTGGTATTTAAAAGATAAGCCTTTGTTTCATGGAAAAGATTGGGGTCATTAAAAGAACTCTGTAGTTTCTCAAGGGCCATCTGGCCCACCCTCTTCTTTCTGTTCACTTCAGGGTTCGACTTGTTTTCCATTTACAACCAAATAACTTGGTATAGGTAAGAGGACACAACTCAATGTCTGAAAACCCTAGATTCAAATCCTGCCTCAGACACTAATTGTATGACTTTGAGGAAGTCATTTAGCAAACATTTATTAAGCACATGCTGTGTGCAAAGCACTGTCATAGATTCCCTGTATCTTTGTTGTTATGTTTATTACAGAATCCTCTAAAATCTTTATATTCATTGTAGATATATTGATGGAGAAGAACTTTTTTTTTTGGGGGGGTGAGGCAATTGGGGTTAAGTGACTTGCCCAAAGTCACACAGCTAGTGACTGTTGCATGTCTGAGGGCAGATTTGAACTCAGGTCCTCCTGACTCCATGGCCAACGCTCTATCCACTGCGTCACTTAGTTGCCCCAAGAAGAACTTTTATATCAGCATTCTGGTCTGTTGAGTCGTTTTTTTTTTATGTAGTCAGCAAATGAAAAATGTAGTGAAATCTTGTAGTCTATTAAACTTTACTCAGTTGTATAATGGTTAACATGTGTCAGCCTATAAAAGTTGCAATACTTCTGATACTGTCATCACATGTCACACGAATAGGAAAGTAGGCATATCAATTGATAGTTATTGACGTTATTTTATTTACCTTTTCGGTAGAATACAAGATATAAAATCTTTGTTCATGTTTTTCGTATATTTTTCTCCTGAAGATGCCTTGAGAATACCTCAACGCTACAAAAATTGTGTTGCGTCTAGAATTAATACTTCCTTCTATATAATTAGTCTAATCTAGCCACCTTCCACCATGTTTCTTTTCTCCAGGGCCTATTTCCTATTTCCTCTTGAAGACTTCCACTCCCCTTGTTAGTGAAAAAAGTTTGTTGTAAAAGGTTTGTTACAGATTGTTTCCATTTATTGCTTATTGTCCTCTTTCGTTTTTGAACTTGGAAAGATTTTCTGTAATTATATCACGTAATTTTAGAGCATGTGCCCAAAAAGGATCCCCGTGATAACTTATCTGATGTGGCCATCCAGTCTCTGCTTGAAGACCTTCAATGAAGGCAGGGTATAACACCTCCTTAAATAGCCCACTGTACTTTTGGGTAGCTCTAACTGTTGAAAAGGTTTTTTTTCCTTGACATGAAACCTAAATTTGTTTCTTTGCTTACTGGTGATGTACTCTTGGTGCAAACAAAACAAATCTAATCTATCTTTTACATGACAGCCCTTCAAATATTTGATCACAGTGGTAATGCCCCTTTTCTTTAGTCTTCTTTCCTCCAGGTAAAACATCCTCAGTTCCTTGACCCTAATTTTAAACTGTGTCCCCTACTCCCTACTTCTACTTTATGTTTTATGAAGCTTATATAATATCCCACAATCTTTCTCCATAAGATTTTACAAATGAGTCTGTATTGTAAACTGTTGTTGCCCTAGTCTGCTATCCTTTTCTTTTCATAAGGGAGATCATTGGTTAACTTAGTTGCTTAACTAAGGTGGTTTTTAAATTCTTTTGATCCCCATGTTATGGCAATTGATTTATATTGGTTAAACTCGTTAAGCAAACTTCTGTACAGATTATTATATTTAGTGTCCAATGTCCTTCTTCCCAATTCCCATCTTATCAAATGAATAATTCACTTAAGCATGGAGTTATTTTAATTGTACAACATATCTTTTTCTCATTTTTATTATTTTTATAGTAATTTTGATCTTTACTGTAGCAAGTTGGTGATACATATATACACAGATACGTGATCCAGAAATGAGCCTTCATAATGAGTCATTTGGGGCGACTTGGTGTCTCAATGGCTAAAGTGCCAGGCCTGAAGTCAAGAAGCCTCATCTTCATGTTCAAATCTTGCCTTAGACACTTATTAGCTGTGTGATCCTAGGCAAGTCACTTAAACCTGTTTGCCTCAGTTTCCTTATCTGTAAACTGAACTGGAAAAGGAAATGGCAAACCACTCTAGGATACTTGCCAATAAAACCCCAAATGGCCTCATGAAGAGTTGGACACAACTGAAAACAACTGAACAACAATGAGTCATTTCCTGTCTATTACAATATCATCAATTTCATTATTTTGAGGTGTTATTTTGTGTTCATTATGTCAAACACCTCAAATTTTTTTCTCAAAAGATGTACTCATGATATTTCAGTATGTAATTGGATAATATATGTAAAATACTTTACAAACTTTAAAGTTAATGATAGTCAGCAAGCTTATAGGATCATAAATCTGGAGGTGGATGAAACCTCAGGGGTCATCTAGTCCAACACTTTCATTTTACAAATGAGGAAACTGAGACCCAAGAAGACTAAAAGACTTGCCTAAGGTGGCCTAGGGTATGACAGAGGTGGGGTTTGTGTGTGTGTGTGTGTGTGTGTGTGTGTGTGTGTGTGTATGGAATAGAATTTTCATTTTTGAAGAGAAAGTAATATGTTGGGTGTATGTGTATATTTTCTTTATAAAGTAATATTGCATTTTTCTCTGTATTTTATTTACTATAAAGTAATTTTGTACATTTTTCTGCATATGGATTTTCTTTCAAATAAAATAACACATTGTACTTGAAAAGGAAAATCTACATTTATTACATATTTACTTTAGAATTTTTCCTCTGAATGACCGGGCAGCACTAATCTCATCAGCTATCCTTTTACATTACCATGGTGAATTGAATGAATGTCTAATGAGATCAGCCTGAAGCAGTTGTCATGTGTGAGACATGATTACCAGTGGTCACATAAAAGATGAATAAGTTGTAACAGCCATTCGCATTCCCTTGCAGGAGTTACAGATACACTGTGCAGAGGGGCAGGCATTACTGAATGCAGTACTTCATACCAGAGAGGAAGTGATACCCTGGGGCATACCACAGGCTGAGGATCGTGTTTTAGAGTCCTTAAGACAGGACTGGCAGACATATCAACAAAAGCTGTCAGAGACTCGAACCCAAATCAACAATATAGTAAACAAGCTGAGGCTGATGGAGCAAAAGTTTCAACAGGTTGATGACTGGCTGAAGACTTTGGAAGAGAAAGTTAATGTCAGCACTGGACGTCAATCTAACCGAGCAGTAAAGGAGATGCAGCTACATCAAATGAAGGTAGTAGAAAGTCATTTAAGATTAATTCCAGTGAAATGTCTCTGCTGGGCAGAATAATGTTACTCTAGTGTCAATAAAATATTTAATAGTCTTTTTTAAAACATCACGTGTTTTGCAAAACCTATTTCTTTATATCTAAGAATTTTTAAATTATTTTTATTGTTCAAGTAATAAGCATTTTTATTAATCCATCCCGATTGAGAATTTTTTTTTAAAAAAATCAATACATAATACATTAGTGACATTTGGGAATTAATGTTGTTGTGGATGTGGTACAGATTCTTCCTACTTCTAGTATAAAATATTATATGTGTATACGTAATATATATATTATATACATAATATGAAATATAAAATGCAGCTAAATGCAAAGCAACCTTGCCATTGTTCTATTGTTTTAATAACATTTTCATGTAAGAATTTTAATTCATTTTCAAAATTATATCTTAGAATAAGTTTCCTAAATCACAGCTAAAAATCACAATTTTTCCGTGAAGTCATTCCCAAGCCCTCTTAATTCTAGTGCCTTTCCTCTATTAATTATTTCTTATTTATTCTGTGTATGGCTTGCTTTGTTTGTACATATTTGTTCACATATTAGCTCATTTATTTGACTATAAATTCTTTGAGGATAGGTCTCTTTTTGTCTTCACAATACCTAGCATATAGTAGGCACTTAATAAATGTTTATTGACAAAGCAAGTATTTAAAGTATTACTTATTTAGAAGACATTTTCATTCTAGAGTTCTTGACATAACCCCAATCTTTCTCTACATGTTCAAACAAATTCAGAAGTGGCATGAAGAGATCGCAACATACAAAGATGAAGTTGAGGAAGTTGGATCTCGAGCTCAGGAGATATTGGAAGAGACTCAAGTGAGCAGCAGAACAGGATACCAAGCAACACAGTTAACCTCTCGATATCAGGCCCTTCTTCTTCATGTACTAGTGAGTAAAAGAACATCTTTGTGAGAGTATTTTTATAATCTGTTAACGGGAAGCAGCCCTCATTCATTGAAGAGGTGATAGATTTGTAGAGGTCATAAAATTCTAGCTGCAGATATTTGTTTTCCAACAAAAGTCACCTCTTGTTTAATATTTCTTTTTTTAAGGAGCAAATCAAGTTTCTGGAGGAAGAGATTCAGAGTTTAGATGAATCGGATTTATCTTTCAGTGCCTACACTGATTGGTATGGGTCCACTCATAAGAACTTCAAGAATATAGCTACTGAAACCAACAAAGTGGATAAAATCATGATGCAGAAGAAAATGAAGACATTAGAGGTAGGCTAAAAATGTGGTTGCACCAAGAAGACTTTCTTAATTGAGCTATCCTATTTCTTGTTTTCTTTGAGTTCTTTCAGGATTTATGAAAATTCCTTCCCCACTGGCACGTAACTGTTCATGTGTCATTTCCTATGTGTATCTTACCTTTCCCTTCTTTGTATTACAAGCTCATCAGAAATGGAAGGACCACATCTTTATTTCTTCATAATTTCCCCAATATGCTCTGTGTACTGTAGGTGTTCACTACATTCTATTTTATTTTCATCATTAGGAGAATTTCATTTGTATGCACCTTTTGTACCCTTAGAAAAAGAATTTCAGGATTTTTTTCTGCTATGTTTTAATCTTGTATCCTCATTGTCCATGATGCTAGCTGAAGTTGTAACCATAATAATCCCCAACTGATGGGATAATAGCAAATCAGTCAGCCTCTTCTAGAGCTTTCAACTGAACATCAAATCTGGGGCTGATTATACCAAAGTTATTTAATCTTCCAGTGTTCATGATACACTTGACTAAAGGTTAGGTAAACGCTCAAAGTTTTATTGGTAAGAATTTTGTACCTCGAATGTTTGGCATAGCATCAGTCAGTCAATACACATTTATTAAGCTCTTATGATGTCCTACGTATTGTGCTACACCCCAGGAATACAAATGCAAACAGAAAGAAAGGTAGTCCCTGCCCTCAAGGAGTTTACATTAACAAAGGAAGGCAACACATAAAAGAAGAAGGGAGAACAAAGGTAAAAGGGGGCACACATGATAGAACAAGTCCAGAGTGGTAAGGAAGTTTTGGGAAAAGCCATCCAATCAGAGGGAGAGGCTTCAAAGGTGGAGGGTACTTCCAATGTGTGAATTCCAGGATGGATTAAAGCTTTCTGCCTAAGGTCTTAGCCTGATTCTTTGGGGATTTTGTGAGAGGTAGAAGAAACTTGAGTTTCTGACTGATTGTTTTTTAAAGTTTTTAGTTTATTAATTATACTAAGCTTTTTTTGACAATTAGAATGAAGTTGTTTTTCTTTGGGCTTCAGTTTCCTCATCTATAGTATAATGGAGTTGGACTGGATGACCTCTAAAATCCCTCCAGCTCTAACTCTATGATTCCATTTTCCTCTATTATTTTTTTTAGGCAATTGGGGTTAAGTGACTTGCCCAGGGTCACACAGCTAGTAAGTGTCAAGAGTTTGGTCTGAGGCCGGATTTGAACTCAGGTCCTCCTGACTTCAGGGCCAGTGCTCTATCCACTGCACCACCTAGCTGACCCAATCCTCTACTCTTAAAGTACAGAAAAAGAAGTAATATGCTGTTTGTTCTTAGGAATTATTACAGGTCAAATCTAGGTACAATAAATGAAAAGGGGATGCCTAGTGTTGGTCAGAACAAGTGGGCCAAGCATAAGTCTTGAAGCTTGAAAAACCTTGCTTTATACAGACTTTCACTGAAATAATGTTTGTTCTCTTGGGGCTCAACCTGTCCTTCCAATTGCTGTCTTTTTCAGTCTTTGCTGAATGAGGTGGAGAAAGGTCACAGTTTGCTGAAATCAGCCAGGGAGAAAGGCGAGAAAGCAATTCAGTACCTGGAGGGTAGTGAAGCTGAAATACTAAGGAAAGAGATCAGCGGTCACGTGGAGCGACTGGAAGAGCTGGCCAGCACTGTCAGAAAGGAGCACAGGACCCTGGAGAAATGTTTACAATTAGCCAAAGAATTTACAGATAAATATAAAGTACAGAGTCAATGGATAGCTGAATACCAGGCTGTACTTCACAGTCCCGAAGACCCCAAGATGGAATTATATGAGAAAAAAGCCCAATTGTCTAAATTCAAGGTAATGAATGCAGTATTATTTCATTACCCCTAGTAAATATATCCTGCCTATCTGCCTTTGAGCTTCTTAATGAATGAATGAGTGTTTTGGGAAGTGAGGAGGGAGAGGGAGAAGGAGCAGCAAATGATTACGAGATAGTTATGGCAATACTATGTAATGATGGAGAAACCCCAGGGGAGAGAATAACTAAATGGAGTGCTCAACTGTGTGAAGTACTGGAAAGAAATGAAGCATGAAGCCTCAGAAGAGGCTTGGTATAATGGAATGAGATTGGATGGCATAATGGCAACAGCATTGGATTTGAAATCAGAGAACCTGGGTTTGAATCCCAGTTCTTCTACTTATTGCTTGTATAATCTGGTACAAGTCACTTTACCCATCTGGGCCTCAATTTCCTCCCCTATAAAATGAGGTAGCTTGATTAGGTGATCAGTAAGATTCCTTTGGGCAAGGGCTTTTAACCTAGGGTCCATGAGGTTTTTTTTTTACAACTACATTTCAATATAATTGGTTATTTTAATTTTACACACTTTAAAAAAAAGCATCATTCTAGGAAAGGGTCCATAGGTATCATCAGACTGCCAGGGGAGTCCATGACACAGAAAATTAAGAACTCCTGCCTTAGAGGATAGTCTCTTAGAGATAAACTCATCTCCATAGTGAGGCTGCTTCTCAGAAACCAGGTAAAGTCTATTGTCTAGACCATACGTCAAACCTTTCCAGCATTTTTAAACTTGTCAGAGCTTGTACTTCATAATTTTATATTGTACATATATTGGCAGATGTCTAAGAGCTAGTGAAGAGAAGGGTGACTGGAGCAAAGTCCTAGAGATGGCAGGATTTGGTGGGGCCAAGGGTAGGGGTAGGACTAGTCTCAGAAGGTAGATCTAGTCTCAGCAAAGTATCTTGGCTCTAAAAATAGAGGAAAGGATGGGTAAATACAGTCAAGGTCTCAGGGGAGTCAAAGGAAGAGATGAGAGAACTCAGACTGGAAAACCTCAATCTCCTTGAAATAGGAGGTGATACTGTCTCCTATGAACAAAGGAGTTAGGTGACTTTCATAGAATTGAAGAGAATGAAGTGAGAATCTGTGATGAGAGAATGGATGCTCCATTCTTTTTTTAGTTTAACAAATATTTATTAAATACTTAATTTGTGCCAACCACTCTGATAGGCCCTGAAGGAAATGTAAGACTCTTTCCTTTATGGTACTTACAGTCTAATATAGTGTAATTTTTTTTTCTTTGTTGCATTAATAGCATTCATCCATTGGAATACATCAGGGGTTCTTAAATATTTTGTGTCATGGATCCTGTGGGGGAGCCTGGTTAAACCTATGGACCCCTTATCTGAATAATGTTTTAAAATGCATAAAATAAAATCCATAGGATTACAAAGAAAATTAATTATATTGAAATACAGCAATAGATCAGTAGATATAGATATAAAGAATGATCCTTAAAGAGAATGAGACTTTTCTTTAAAATTATTTAAGCACCCTCTATGCCATATAAATAGATAGATAGATAGATAGATAGATAGATAGATAGATAGATAGATAATGTATACACATACTTGTGTGTGTATGTGTATTCACTTTGCCTTCTTTGTTCTTTTTGCACATCAAGTCAATCCAACAGATGGTGCTATCTCATGAGCCATCAGTAAAATCTATAAATGAAAAAGGAGAAGCCCTTCTGGAACTGGTACCAGATGTTACTTTAAAGGATAAAATTCAGAAACTTCAAACTGATTACCAGGACCTTTGCAATGCAGGGAAGGTAAGAGAGAACAGGAAAACTATCATACATTATCATGTTATTTACTAGGAAAAGCAACTCCCATTTTTATTAAGGGACATATTTTAGGATAGTGAAGGCTTAGTTTTCTTTCTTCTCTGATGTCCTTGTATGCAGATAACTAAAGTGAAATGTATTAAGTGTACAATTTTCCTATGACTAAGTGAGTTGGCTGTCATTTTATAGTTGTCATTGAGTCATTTCAGTTGTGTCTGACTCTCCCTGAACCTGTGGACCTCGGTTCATTAGGTTTCCTTGGCAAAATACTCCAGTGGTTTGCTATTTCCTTCCTCAGTGGCAAAGAGAAGTTAAGTGACTTGCGGAAGGTCACCCAACTAGGAAGTTTCTGAGGTTGGGTTTGAATTTAGGTCTTCTTGATTCCAAGCCAGCACACTATTCACTGAGCCACCTAGCTGCCCATTTTATATACGTATATGCATATTACTCAATCTAAGAAGTAGGACACATTTACAAATGTAATATAATGTCAAGTATTTCTCTCTTTGTGCTCATCTCTAATGTTTTGTCATTTGGAATCAACAGGAGCATGTGATGAGCCTGGAGGTAAAAGTGAAAGAACATGAAGAGTATAATAATGAGCTTCAGGAAGTGGAAAAGTGGCTGTTACAGATGTCTGGCAGGCTGGTAACACCAGACCTCATGGAGATGAGCAGCTTAGAAACAATCACCCAGCAGCTGGCCAGCCACAAGGTATAACTGGCATGTGGGCAGATGGGATGAGAATTTCTTCAATGATTTTATGTAGACATTTCTGTTGTAATTCCTTTTTAGTAAAGCAAACACAGGTCAGTAGGTTCAGATCACTGTAGAGAGTGGGTGGTCCAATTTGTTAATTTTAAAAATGTAAAAACTGAGGCCATTTGGGTTTTGTTTTTGCTGCTTTCTTTCTTTCTTTCTTTCTTTCTTTCTTTCTTTCTTTCTTTCTTTCTTTCTTTCTTTCTTTCTTTCTTTCTTTCTTTCTTTCTTTCTTTCTTTCTTTTTTGTCTTACTGTTTAACTTAAAATCACATGGCTAGCAGGTAGATTTTGAACCCAAGCCAAGCTAAGTCCTATGCCTATCATACTTCTACATTGCTGTCAGCTCTAGATAAACTCATTTATGTTAAAATAAATGTCAGAACTTGTCAGATGTCATTCTAATGAAGTTTCAGATCTAGAAAAAATATATAATTTTCTGTAATGCATTGAATAATTCAGAATGAGTCTCTTTATTTCCAAGGCACCATTGCCTAATTCACTGGATGTCATGAGCAGTTTTTCATTACATAGGATCAAAACCTTACAGTTATCTTTAACTCTTCCCTCTCCCTCATCTTCTTTCTCATTTTAATCTGTCAATTTTACTTGCATTATCTGAGTTTATCTCCTTTCCACTCATACCAGCACTCCACTAGTTCATCTACCTTTATTTCTTAACTAAATTATTTTATTAGTATCTTAACTGGTCTCCCTGCCTCCAATCTCTTTCTTCTCCAATACTTATTTCAAATAGCTGCTGAAATAAAATTCTTAAGACACAAATATAATTGTGATACTACACTCATATTAAGCTGGTATTTTGAGACCTCCAAGATCTGATTCCAACCTATCTTCACTTCATAGACTCTACTTTAATAAACTGAACTATTAATTTTCCTATTAGGTCACCATGCCCTCTCTCACCTCTGTGCCTTTACATATATTCTCCCTCATATCTGCAATTCACTTCTATTTTAACCTGTTGACATTTTCTCTTCATGTCATTCCCCACTCAGATATCATCTCTTGTAGTTTTTCTTTAATCCTTCTGACTGAATTTTGCCCTCCAAAATTTTGTTTAGCACTTCACTTTTATCCTCTTCTACTTCCTATTGTTCTTATCTATTTACTCGATTTATCCCCTCTTCTAGACTGTAAGTTTTCTGAGGAGAAAGGGTTGGATTTTGTATTCCCAGTGGATTGTATATACTAAGTCTAATAAATGTTTGCTGAATTTGAGATTGATAAAATACTCAATATTACATTGAATATGAGATACAAAACTTTTCAGTAGAGTAAAAGTAACTTTAAAATGAATTAGTGTTAAATGACAATGATATAAGAATAGACATCTTTTATTTCCCTTGGTAGGAAGCAGCAATTGAAGGCATTGGACATAGTTCTCTAAGATCTTTTGACTCTCCAGAAGTCAATTAAGCCCTAAAGGCGGCTCATTTCCTTTAGAGAATTATTTATTAGTGCCTGAAAAAGTGAATTTGCTTTAATACCTACTTTCCACTCAAATTTAATAATCTAGGTTATTAGGTGCAGGGTGTAAATGTGATGCCATTTATCATTGAGAAGAAAAGCATCTGAATATAAAGGCTGATACTGTAAGCAAACTGGGAGAGCAAGAAATAACAGAAGACTTCATAACCACACAAGAGATAGAGAACATTATAAAATGCAAAATAGATAACTTTGATTTTATTAAATTGAAAAGTTTTTATACAAACAAAGCCAATGAACCAAGATTAGAAGGAAAGTAGAAAATTGAGAAAGAATTTTTACAACCAATGTCTCTGAAGAATACAAGTTATTCCTCAATTAATAAATGGTCAAAGGATATGAACAAGCAGTTCTCAGATGAAGAAATTAAAGCCATCTATAGTCATATGAAAAAATGCTCTAAATCACTATTGATTAGAGAAATGCAAATCAAAACAACTCTGAGGTACCACATCACACCTATCAGATTGGCCAATGTGACAGAATAGGAAAATGGTAAATGTTGGAGATGTGGGAACATTAGAACACTCATGCATTGTTGGTGGAGTTGTGAAATGATCCAACAATTATGGAGAGCAATTTGAAACTATGCCCAAAGGGTTATAAAACTGTGCATAGCCTTTGTTCCAGCAACAGTACTTCTAGGGATGTATCCCAAAGAAATCATAAAAATGGAAAAAGGACACACATGTACAAAAATATTCATAGCAGCTCTTTCTGTGGTGGCAAAGAATTGGAAATTGAGAGGATGCCCATCAATTGCGGAATGGCTAAACGAGTTGTGGTATGTGATTGTAATGGAATACTATTGTGCTATAAGAAATGATGAGCAGGCAGACTTCAGAGAAACCTGGAAAGATTTGTATGGTCTGATGCTGAGTGAAGTGAGCAGAACCAGGAGAACATTATACATGGTAACAGCCACATTGTAGCTAATGTGATGACTAATATTGATAGACTTAACCCTTCTCAGCAATGCAGGGATCTAAGACATCTCCAAAGGCCTCATGATGAAAAATGCTATCCACATCCAAAGAAAGAACTATGAAGTTTGAATGCAGATCGAAGCATACTATTTGGTATTTTTTTTCTTCTGTCTTGTTTCCTCTTTCTCATGGTTTCTCTTATTGGTTCTAATTCTTACAACATCATTAATATAAAAATATGTTTAATAGTAATGTATATGTATAGCCTATATCAGATTGTGCACCATCTGGGGAGGAAGGTGAGGAGCGAGGGGGAGAAAAATTTAAAACTGCAAAGCTTATGGAAGTGATTGTTGATAAATGAAAATAAAATTTTTAAAAAAGCAAAAAACAAATAAAAAAAATGAATTGGAAGCCACCTTGGAAAAAAAGGCAATCTACAGTAGATACCTCTACTTTCTTTTTTTTCTCACTGTCTTCTAAACCTCTTATAATCTGGTTTCTGACTTTATCATTCCATCAAAACTGCTCCCTCTAAAATTACCAGTGATCTCTTAGTTAACAAGTACTATGAACTTTTTTCTATCCTTATTCACTTTGCCCCCTCTGCAGCTTTTAATACTGTTGATCATTTTCCCTTCTTCATACTCTCTTCTCTCTATGTCTTTTAGACACCACTGTTTCCTGGTTCTCCTCCTACCAATCTGATTGCCCCTTTTCTGTCCCCTTTGCTGAATCTTCATCCAGTTCATGCCCTCTCACCATAGATGTCACACAGGAATCTGTCCTGGACCCTCTATACAACTTCCCTTAGTGATCTCATCAGCTCCCACTGCATGTCGATTTCACCTTTGTAACATTTCTTGAATATGTCCCCTTTTCTCCTCTAACGCTTCCACCACTCTGGTGCAGGCCTTCACCTCACACCTGGACTATCGCAATAGCCCACTGCCTGCCTCCTGTTTCACCCCAATCCTATCCATCCTTCATTCAGCCACTAAAGTGATTTTCCTAAAGTATAGGTCCAACTATGTCACCCACACACGCAAACTCAATAAGCTCCAGTGGCTCCCTGTTGCCTCAAGGATTAAATACAAAATCCTCTGCTTGGTACTAAAAACTCTTTATAAGCTAGCCCAACCTTTCTAGCCTTTTTTTTACACTTTATTATTTGCCACATCCTCTTCAATTCCATGACACTGGCCTCCTTGCTGTTTTGAAACAAGACACTCCATCTCTCAGCTTCACACATTTTCACTGGCTGTCCCCTTGCCTGGAATTCTTTACCTTCTCATCTCCACTCACAGGCTTCACTTGCTTCCCTTAAGTCTCAGCTAAAATCTTGTCTTCTATAGGAAGCCCTTCCCAACCCTTCTTAAGTCTAGTGCTTTCCCTCTCATCTCTTATTTATCCCGTGTATAGCTTGTTTGTATATATTTGTTTGTTTTCTCCTCTATTAGATTATGAGCTCCTTGAGGGCAGAGATTATTTGATCTTTTTTTTTTATCCCCAGTGTTTCCCACATAGTAGGCACGTAAGTTTTACTGATTGATTGATCCTTTGCTAGTTATTTCAAGACCTTAGATAAATCCCTAAAGCTCTCTAGTCTGCCTAGAGAGAATGTTGGGCTAAATAATCTGTAAGGTTCCTTACAACTTAAACATTCTACAATTCTATAGCTAAAATTGTATTCATCAACTCCTATGTCAAATTCAGCTTCCAATTTCAGCTCTCGAATTTCTGCCACTGATATCACCATTTCTTACAGCATATACTAAGTGAAAAAACTTCAAGTGATTTTTGAATTTTATTTCTCCTTTATGTTCTATAGACAATAATAAAAATTACTCTCTTGTTTAAAAAAAAAAAAGAATAGCATCTGGAAATCCTCACAGGAACATTTATTTATTTTATTTTATTCCTAGGCTATGATGGAAGAGATTGCAGGGTTTGAAGACCGTTTGAACGATCTGAAAACTAAAGGGGATCATCTGATCAGTCATTGTGCAGACCAGCTTCAAGCCAAGCTTAAACAAAATGTACAAGCTCATTTACAGGGCACAAAGGATAGTTACTCTGCTATCTGCAGTACTGCACAAAGGGTAAGTTTATCAGAGTGACTTTATATAAATATTATGAATTATTGAGAGAGGACTGAAATCTAGTGACTTTAAAATAGGATAGACTTTTATGTCTTTGGGACACTTTTGGTATGAATCCAGCCTGAAGGCAAGAAGTCAGACTACACAGTATGGTGTTGACATGGCTAATGGATTGGCTTTTTGGCTGAATTGCCTGGATAATGAGATTCTGACTTCTAGTTTAACTGCTCTTACTTTCCCTCACTGAGTTTATTGGTTGGTTTTGAAGCATGTATGCATGTGTGTGTATGTATTTACACTATATATGTATATATGTATGTGTACATATATATGTATATATACATATGTACATTGTGCCTCCTAGTTCTTCCATTTCAGCATTGAAATAGTAGCTCTTTACATCATTTAAAAATAATAATTCATTATTTTATAATTGAAATATATAGCAAAAATTGTACTACATAAAACTAATAGGTACATCAAGTATAATTTTGTACATAACATTGATGAGTATTTCTTTAAAAACCGACTCCATGAATGCTTTGAAAATAAATATTTAAAATGTCAGATAGATTAGACTTTTTAAAAATCAAAATTTAGAAAGATAAGTTTATTATTTTTACTTACACAAAAATAAAAATAAATGCATTGTAAGTCTGAATGTCTTACCAAAGATAATAGATTCAATTTACCTAAATTCATCTAAAACTTTGAAGATATATAGTTGAAAAGATGGGAGCCAATCTATATAGCTAGAGGAAATTCCTCATTGCAAGCTCCCTAAGCCAATGAAATCATAAAACCAGTTCCTTAAAAAGAGGAAAAAATAAAGAAAAACAAAACTTCAAAAGGAGGCCCTTCACCTAATTTCCTCCTCCTCCTCCTTCTCCTCCTTCTTCTCCTTCTTCTCTTTCTTCCTCTTCCTCTTCTTCTTCTTTTTATTTGGAAGACCAAGGAGGAAGAATGGTTGGTTTTGCAAAAGTGATAAGAACCTTGGAAGAAAATAGAAGTAAGAAAATGGAAAAAGTGTGATACTTTTGTGTAATACTTCAAAATATAATACAGTTAAAGGATGAAGTAATTCTGAGAGAGAGAGAGACTACATTATGATTCATTCACAACAATCTGACTGCATTACCTTTTTTATAGTCAATGATAAAAGTAATGAAATCCTCACTATACAATCCTGAATAATTAAAATGAAAAAAGAAAAAGAAAAGATAACTTATGAAGGCAAAAGCATAGGAAGCTTTATTGAAAGAGTGGCATAAATTTCTAATGATAACATGAAGAGAGTCCTCTATGAAAGACAACAGAAAGGACTTCAGCTATTCAGAATAAGAGAATAAGGACAAGATAGGTCTGATGTTTGTGGAATTCAACAGATCAGTAGAAAGAAGATGTAATTATTGGTGTATCTGACATCTATAATACAGAACATGTTTCTCAAATGAGAAAGGACAGAATGTTGATAGCAAAGAGGAAATTCAGACTTTAAAGACGTGAGGTGATAGTTAAAGGCTGTAGTCATTTTAAATAAATTCAAGTCATTGGTCCCAAATTTAGATCTTGGGTTCTTGAAAAAGTTTGCATGTCCCTAAGATATGGAGTGTAAGAAGGCTTGAAGTATATAAGTGCTGCCCTGATTTTGATATAGGACAAAAGTGTAAATTCTATGAACTAATACTCTTTTTTTGTTGTTGTTGTTGTTGTTATTGTTGGGCAATGGGGGTTAAGTGACTTGCCCAGGGTCATACATCTAGTAAGTGTCAAGTGTCTGAGGTCAGATTTGAACTCAGGTCCTCCAAATCCAGGACTGGTGCTCTATCCACTGCACCACCTAGCTGCCCCCTAAACTAATATTCTTGAATGTGGATGTTGTTTTGTTGTCGCTGTTAAGTCATTTCAGTTGTGTCTGCCTTTCCATGAACCCATGTGGGGTTTTCTTGGCAGACGTACTGGAGTGGTTTGCCATTGCCTTTTTTAGGTCATTTGACAGATGAGGGAACTGAGGCAAACAGGCATAAGTGACTTGCCCAGGGTCACACAGCTAGTAAGGTCTGAAGCTGGATTTGAACTCAGGAAGATGAGTCTTACTGACTCTAGACCCAGCACTCTATCCATTGTACCATGTTAGGAAAGTTCTAAAATGGACAGTCAAATGTGTGGTGTCTGAGAATCTGGGGAAGGATGTGATGCTTGCTAAACACTTGCCATAACTCCTTTTCAAAATAGGTCAGTAGGTTATTAAGACAGTAGAATACCATAGATTTAATCTATCTTGATTTCAGAAAGTTTTAGTACAATAAAAAAGAGCAAGATAATTTTTCTTCCCAGTGGAAGGAATTAACATAGAACTCTGCAGAACATATTTAAACTTCAGGGAGCCATTAATATTATTGGCATTTATGTTGGGATTTTTCTGCTACTGTCTTTAGGATCATAGCTAATAGAGCTGGAAGGCAACTTAGAAGTCATCTACTCCAACTTTTATTTTACAGATGAGGAAACTGAGGCCAAGAAATTTTAAGTGACTAGCCTGAGTCAGTCAGTGGCAAGCCAGGTTTTGCCTTTTAAGTATTCAGACTCTGAATTTATATCATTTACACTGATCACAGCTGCCTCCTTGCTGCAGAATGAGACAGTTTTTTTGAGTGACCTAAGAGTGTGGGGAAGTGAAAACAGAGCATAGTAGCAATTGGAGGACAATTGAGGGATTCTCCAGTTATTTCCCCTTTCTACCTATGTTGTATCCTTTCAGGACACATTGCCTTCTTCTCAAGAATAAGTTTATATGTCAGTTGTTGAAAGACCCTTGACAAAGCATTTGAACAAGTCCTTCACGCAGCCTGAATGATAGTAAAATTAAGTAAATCCCTGTACAACTGCCTGAGAAATTATCCTCTGAGGGTTTAAATTCATACATTGATGTTAATCTATAAAGAAGATTTCACTGGCATATAACAATATTCTATGGCCTTGTTCTGTTGGATACATTTATCAGCAACTTGGATAAAATCAAAGAAAGCATATATATAAAACTTGTGCATATTATAAAACTAAGATGTAAAGCTAATAAATTGAATGACAGGATCAAGATTTAAAATTATATTTGACCAGTTAGAATAATATTTTGAAAACAGGGAGATTAAATTTAGTGGAGATAACTGTAAATTTCCTTATTCAGGTTAAAAAAAATCCATGTAAGCACAAGATTTGGGGAGACCTAATTTGACCACATCTCATGTGGAAAAAGGCCTGAGATTTTTAGTTGTGTACAGTTCAACTAGAAACAATAGTGTGCCATAGTTGTTAAAAGGCTGGTGTGGTTATTAGGGTTACCTTAATGGAAGTATAGTGTCCAGAACAAGTGAGGTAATTAATTCATTCTACCATGTACTAGTCATATCATATCTGGAATTCTCTGTCATTTCTAAACATCACCATCATATTTTGGGAAGAACATTAACAGAGAGGTCTGTATCCTGTGCAGTATAACCATGATGGTAAGAGATCTAGAAACTATGTTACATAAGGAACAAGTGGAGAAATTGGAGGTGCTTATTAAGGAGAAGAGGGGAAAAAAGTGGAATCTTGATTACTCTCCTAAAATAACTGAAGAATTGTTAAGAGGAAGACGTGGTTCTATGCAGGGTTGTTTTGGAGTATAGAGTGGAGATCAATCAGTGGAAGTTATAGGGAGGCTAATTTCAGGTCAGTATGGAGAAGAACTTCTTGACCATCGGATATAGAATATGGAATGGGGTAGGACTATGCTGTAAAATAGTAAGTTCCCTCTCACCAAGAAAGCAAAACACTGGCAACTACCTATCAGGAATGTTGGGGAAGGAATAAGTACATGAATGGGTATACTAACTAGCTTCTCAAATCCCTCCCAACTCTGAATTTCTGTATTTCTAATTCTACTTATTTACCATTATACTTCTATATCATGTTGCTATGTATGGACAGAAAATGAGAAAGAAATGGGTTCAGTTTGGTATTTTCTGGGGTAATTTGTTGCTATAGCATAAAGTGCTCCAAAGTTTCCTAAGCAGGTAGAATACACTTTCTTCTCATTGGTTCTTCAGCAAAAGCTCAGCAAGCATTTTTGCACTAACAGAGACAAAATCTAATCTGAAAAACAAAAGACATGCTTATAAATTTGTGTAATTTAAAGACACTTTAACAAGGTTAGAAGTGAAGACAGTTCATATTTAATCATTCTGCTTAATTCCAACAAACTATAATTATTTTAGCTCTTAAAACCTCAGTAAATCAAGAAATCAATCAATGTTATATTTTTAGAACTTGCTAATATGCCTGTCACAGGAGGATATACTTGCAAAAGCAAGACAGTGTATACTCTCAAGATGCTTACATTCTATTTTTTTCTCTTATTTTGTCTTAGGTTTACCAGAGCTTGGAACATGAGCTTCAGAAATATGTCAGCAGGCAAGATACCTTGCAGCAATGCCAGGCATGGCTTGGTGCAGTTCAACCAGATTTAAAGCCAAGCCCTCATCCACCTTTGAGCAGAGCAGAGACAGTTAAGCAGGTAATAAATACTTATTTAAGTAATCTGAAAAAGAGAAACCCATTACCTATTGAATGGGTTCTTCTCATTCTCCTTTTCTGCATCTTCATCAAGGTCATGCCCATTAACTGGATGTCCACAAGGTTCTATCCTGGGCCCTTTTTTTCCCTCCCTCTATATTATTTCAACCTCTCTCCTGACCTAATCCTGCATCTCCAACTGCCTATGTGATAAATCAAATGAGTTCTGTTAAACATCTTAAATTTTTAATATCTAAAACTGAATTTATTACCTTCCCCTTCTCACCCCACCCTTCTCCTCAACCCCTAATTTCCTTTTACTAGTGAAGGTGCCACTATCCTCCCAGTCATCTGAGCCTACAACCTACATGTCATACTCAACTCCTCATTCTCTCTTATTATTCATATCTAATTACTTTTCAAATCCTGTTGATTCTGCTTTCACCACATTTCTCCCACTTCTCTCCTTTGACACTACTAGCCGGGTGCAGGACCTCATCACCTCATGCATGGGCCATTGTAGTAGCCTTTAAATGATTTCCTTGGCTTAAGTCTCTCCTTGCTCCAGTCCATCCCATGATTAGCTGTTAACTGAATCTTCCTAAAACACAAGTCTTACCATGTCTTCAGTCAACACCAGGGGCTCCCTATTGCCTCCAAAATCAAACATAAAATCCTATGTTTGGATTATAAAACTCTCCATAATCTGGCCCCTTCCTGCCATTCCAGTCTTTCTACATATTACACCTTGGCCCCCAAAATGTTCTGACATTCAGCGACATTGGCCTCCCCACTTTTCCTTGCACAACAGTCTATTTTCCAATTTCTAGCTTTTTTTATTGGGTGCTTCCCACCTTCTGCAAGAGTCCTTTCCTCTCAATGCTGATGCCTTCTTTCTATTGATTATCTCCAATTTTATCCTGTGCATACCTTGTTTGTATATAGTTTTTAACATGTTTTAACATAGTTAACATAGTTAAAACATAGGGTTTTTTTTAACATGTTTCCCTCATTAGACTGTAATCTCCTTGAGAGCAGGGGTTGTCTTTTGCCTTTCTTTGCCTCCTCAGTGCAGTGCCTGGCACATAACAGGTGTTTAATAAATGCTAGTTGATTGACTGACTTATAATTACATTCATTCTTGCTGGCATCCAGCTGAAGTTTTTTTTTTCCTATGAAAATAATGTAACAGATTCTATCCTCATATCCTCCCCCAGGATTTTAAAAATATCCCTAGAATAATAATAACAAGAATTGAAGCAGATAACTTGTGCCTGTGCAATTTATATAGTGAAAAATTATTTGGGAAGAATTCCTTGGCTTACCACCAGACTTGAACAGTTGTCACTGCATGACTTAGCCAGGTCTTTTTTTTTGTTTTGTTGTTTTTGATTTTCTTTTTGCTTCATTTTGTTTTGTGTATATGAGCAGAATTTAAAATAACTTGGTTTTTCCCTGTAATTCACCCAATCAAAACTTCACATTTTAGAAGAATTTGATTGTAAAACTAATATTGTTCCAGATATGGATGAACATCGTGTAGTTATTATAAATTCATGAAACAAAGATACTAAATAATAATGATTCAGGCTAGGTAATGATGAAAGGAAAGGAAATCTCTTTATGACTCTTCTCTCTTTGTTGTCCTTCATTTCCTTTGCCAGATCCTCATCTGTGTCATGCCCATTAACTATAGGTGAGCCATAGTGCTGTACCTTGTATTATCTTCTTGTTTTATACTTATATTCTCTAAAGGAGAATATCTCATTATCCCATTATCTCCCATAGATTGTTATCCCCTTTAAGCAGCCAAATCATAAGCTGTATATCCAATCTTTGTCACTCTCCTGTTCTCGACTCCTGCATTGTGAACTGCCTATTGGACATTTTGAACCAGATATCCCATAAGTATCTCAAATTCAAAATGTACAAAACAGAACTAATTGTTTTTCTCCCAAACTCACCCCTCTTCTTAATTTCCCTATTGCTATTAATAATAGCACCATCCTTCTAATTATGCAGGTTTGTAACCTCAGTGTCAACTTTAGCTTCTCATTGCAACTCCCTCACTCTATATATCTAATCATTTAACAAACCTAGCTATTGCTTTATCTAAAATATCCCGTGCGTATGTGCGTGCGTGTGTGCATGTGTGTGTGTGTGTGTGTGTGCACACGTATACATATACCTATCCACTTTTATTTACTCAGTCACAACACTAGTTCAGGCCTTTATCACCTCTTAACTGGACTATTTCAAGACTCTTCTAATTGGTCTCTCTACTTTAAGTCTTTCCCACTCCTATCTATCCTCCAGTCAGTCAAGAAGCATTTATTAAGAACTTATTATGTATGCTGGGCACTATTCTAAGTACTGGGAGTATAAATAAAAGCAAAAACATGGTCTCTACCCTCAAGGAATTCACCTTCTAATGGTAAAGACAATATGCAATTAACAACATGCAAGAGCATATGTTATAAATGGGAGCTACTTTTAGAGGAAAAGCACTAGCGTTGTTGGAGAGGAATGGACTGGGAAGGGAAAGAATTGAGTCTTGAAGGAAGCTGGGAGGCAGATGTAAGGAAAGAACATTTCAGGCGTAGGGACAACCAGTGAAAATGCATAGCATCAAAAAAATGGATTCTTATGTATGAGGAACAACAAAAAAGATTGGAATGTAAAGAAAATGGAGACAAGCAAAATTTAAGCAGACTGGAAAGGTGAGAGGACCATGGTTGTAAAGGGCTTTAAAAGCCAAATGGAGAATTTAATATTTGATCCTAGATATGACAGGGTGCCACTGAAGTTTATTGAGGGAAGTGTGATGGTCAGACCTCTGCTTTAAGAACACTTTTTCAGCTGAGTTGATGATGGAATCAGGTGGGAGGATGGGGGGAGGGGAGAATCAAATTTGAGACTCCTGGTCAACTAGAAGACTGTTGTGATAATGTAGATGTGTTATGTGATAAAGGCTTGCATTAGGGTGTGGGACTTGGGAACAGATTGGATTGGGAGAGAGTGAGAAGTCATGGATGACACTGAAGTTGCAAGCCTGTATGACTGGTTGAATGATGCTGCTCTTGACAGTAAGAGGAACATTTGGAATTGGGGAAATTTTGAGAGGAGAGATAATGAGTTATTTTTTTTATATGTTGAGTTAGGTTGACTTTGGACATACAGTTTGATATGTCCAATAGACAGTTGGTGATATGAGATGATAAATCAGAGCTAGATATATAGGTCTGAAAATTATCTGCGTAGAGATGATCATTAAACCCATGGGAGGTAATAAGATCAACAAGTTAGTATAGAAAGAGAAGACAAGAGGGCCCAGGAAGAGCCTTAATGAGCTGTAGGAGGATATTCAAAGGAGATTGATAAGGAGAGGTCAAACAATTAGGAGAACCAGGAAAAAACAGTGTCAGGAGAACCTAAAGAGGAGAGAATGATCAGAACAGAGTGATGAACAGTGTCAGAAGTTTCAGCAAGGTCAGAAACAATGAGGATCAAGAATAGACCATTAGATTTGGCAATTAAAAGTTCATTGTTAACTTCTGACAGAGAAGTTTCAGTTGGATAATAAGGTCAGAAGCCAGACTATGAAAGGGATAGAATCAAAGGAGAAGACAGGAAAAGTAGGTACCAATTGTGGCATGCTTTAAAGAAATATAGCCATGAAAAGGAGGAAAGGACAATAACTAAAGGAGATGTCAGATCAGGTGAAAATTCCAGAAAAACATGTAAAACTCTAGCAATGATTTTCCAAAAGGACAGGTTTGACTATGTCACATTACTACTCAGTTAACTGTGGAGGTTCTCAGTTAATAGTAGAGGTTCTTTATTAACTACAAGATCAAGTACAAGGAACTCCCTTTGGCATTTAAAGTCATTCAAACTGGAGATAAGTTGCCTTTGGAACAGAGACAATGGGAGGGGAGAGGGAGGGTGAGAGCAGCAGAGAGGGCAGGAGAAAGAAGGAGGTGGATGGTCAGAGACAGAATAAACAGACATATCTTTCTATCACTCTGACACTTGCCTTTTCAGGTGAAACATTTCAGAGCTCTTCAGGAGCAAGCCAGAACCTACTTAGACCTTCTGTGTTCAATGTGTGATTTGTCCAACTCATCAGTGAAGACTACAGCAAAGGACATCCAACAGACAAAGCAAACGGTACAACATAATTATAAGTTTTACAATTGTTTTTGAAGTCATTTACATGTTATGGGTTTTAAAGAAACTACCTTTCTACGTGTGTCTTATTTTGACTTAGAGTTATCCTAATGACAAAGATGTATTTGCTTTGAGGTTAAAAAGTTCAGGCAAGCATGAGTAACCCACCACGTTGCATCCAGTGAGGGACACCTGGGAACTAGTAGCAATCTGCCACTTCTCAGAATTTATATCACCTTTAGTTCTTTTTTTTTTTTAAATTTGGCCATCCTTCATTCTTCTATTTCTTTCTCCATTTCTGCCTTTTCCTATTTAGTCATTTTGTTAGTGTTCAGGGATAAAATGGTTACTAATATTTGATTTATGTTGCATATGTTACCTTTAAAGAAAAACTGTTAAATGGACCACAGGTAATTGGCTGGATGGCTAGCTCTATTGCTTTAGTAATGTTACTCTCATTGTTTTCAGGTGTCATACGGAATCAAAAATAGCTTTTACAAAAAATCTGTATTAAGTTTTTTCTGTTGTCTCACTGTTTCTGTTGTATCTTTATCACCAGGGAAAATAGTTCTAGAATTCTTATTTCAAGGATCTTTGAAAGATTTCAAACCATAGCCATCTTTGGCAGAAGGGATGTATTAAACGAAATGCTATTGTTTTCAAAAGCAACTAAATTTTCACTAAAAATATATATATATATATATATATATATATATATATATATATACAAAACATCAACCACATAAATTTCATTATTAACCTTCATGTTAATATTTTTTGTGACTAGAATACTCAAACTAAAGAGTATTTTAAAGACCTCTCTAATTCACTCCAGAGTCCTGAAATCTCATTAAAATTGAATAGGCATGCCAGAATTAGAAAATATGCAAATCTATGTAATCTACAAGATGCCTTCTGATCCAATCCACAATAATGAAAACTTATCAGAGCTTCAGGAGAATGTTAAAAAAAAATGGACCAGCTAAATATAATGAGCCACTTAAGTAAAGCCTTCTGGAGACCCAGATCTTAATAGCATCCTGCTGTTTACTTGACAAGCAGGTGAAATCTCTTCGAATCAGGTCAGAAGTGATGACCTATTTGCATCTGGAAAGCATTACTCCTGCTCTCCAACCCCTGCTTTCCCCCCATATTGAATATGTATAACAAAGGATGATAGATAGATGACATGATAAGGTATTGCAGCAAGATGCAATACTTTGTTTCAGTGGGATGTGTAGATGACAATCTGAGCAGATTCCAATGGCCTCTTTAAGAAGTTTAAGGGAATTATCTACATCTTCACCATATATCTTCACTTTTTCTTGAACATTTCCAAGGAGAGGATTTTAATCAAATTCTTTGTATAACTTTGTGTCTACCCAGATTTTATTTTGAGAGTGGGCTGTCTGACAGAATGCTTTATAACATGTGAAAATCTTTATATAATTGTTTTTCTTCACCTGCTTGTTTTTTTTTTCTTTTAGATTGAACAGAAGATAACAAACTCACAGAGTTTAACTCAGGGCTGGGAAGAGATTAAACAGATGAAGGCAGAGCTTTGGATCTATTTCCAGGATGCAGATCAACAGCTGCAGAATATGAAAAGGAGGCAGGCTGAATTGGAGCTAAATATTGCACAAAACATGGTTTCCCAAGTAAAGGTAAATAGTCATTTTTTTTTCTGTAAGATATTATAGAGGTTGCTGACATGGTTGAAAGGAGAATATGCATTCATATGTTCATACTCTCATTGGATTAGAGCTGGAAGAGACCATAGAGATCATATTGTCCAATACCTTCAGTTTTCATTTTACAGATGAGAAAACTGAGATCCAAAGAGATTAATTTACTAGTGGAACCATTATGCAAACCAAAGTTTTCTGATTTCAAATCCAAGTCCCTTTCTACTATACCACAGATCTCTCTGAAAGTGTTGGTAATTAATCCTTAGGAAATTAAGAAAGTATGATGAAATAGGAACACATTATTTCGTTTCATTTTTTACGTTCAACTAAAGAGAAACTGACATGTAATTCTTGGCCTGTAACGAGTAGCCAGAGAACTCCACCTATCACATTTAGTCTCTTTCTTTACTTACTCTTTCAGTTGTAGAGTTGATATAGTCTTATTTTAATCTTAATAACCTACATTGTGATATTTTTTACGGACTTGTTTTCTTCAGTGCACTTTTTTTCTAGTTGGCCAATTGTATTTTTTAAGGACTCTTCTACCTCTCTCATTTGACTTTTAAAATCCTTCTTGAGCTCTTCTAAGAAGGCTTTTTGGGCTTCAGATCAATCAATACCTCGTTTTGAGGTTTTAGATATGAGTTTGTTGGCAATGTTGTCCTCTTCAGAATTTCTGCCTTCATCTTCACTCTTCTCATAATATGAATCTATGGTACATTTCTTTTTGCTCATGGTGTTTGCTTATTTCCTGACCTTTAAAGAGATTGAGCTCTCCTGCTGGGGAGCAGAGGGCACTGACCCAAGCTTCTTGTGTTGGGAGCCTTGGGCCTGGTCACTGGATTTGTGTGCTGTGGCCTCCGATGTTGACAGCTGGAGGCTGTGGGGTTCTGGCAGCTTACCTTGTGTTGAGCTGGAATCAGTAACACTGGAACTCTAGGGGTAAGATTGGGTAGTCTGGCCCCTGGATGTTGTTGCCTGCTTTTCCTTCCCTGCTTTCTTCAGCTCCTTTCAGATAGATGTTGCAGGATGGTTATGTGCCTGGGGCCACTTGGAGTGCTTCACAGAGTTTTGCTGAGGCTGGGAGACTGCTGTAGAATACCGAGTCACCTGGTGGTTTTCTGAGCTGGTTTCCACCAGTTCCGTCACCCTCACTCTCACTGAGGTGCTCAGGAGTCCAGGTGTTGATGTTTGCCTGCTCCACTACCTGGATTTCAGGATCTCCTCCTGGTATGCTGAAGTGGGGCTTTCCACTAGCTTGCTGGGACACCTCCCAGTTCTGTAATGCTCCACTTCCCCCAGGGCAAGAGGGGCCTTTCTCATTAATCCCTCAAGCTACCTAGGCTACTGTACTGCTGCATCCCATCTTTCTTCTGGTTCAGCTGTTCCAGGGTTTTTCCTGGGCAATATTTTCTGTGCTTTCAGAGGTTGGTAGGGGAGGGTAAGAGAGACTTACTTCTTACTCTGCCATCTTGGCTCCTGGAAGTGGAACCTGCATTGTGATTAAAATGTAAGACAAAATTATTCTGATCAATTTATATCAATTTGTATGAATTAGAAGGTAATTATATGGATCTAAATATCCTTCCTCTGTTATTTTCCCAAAGATTTTATAACTAATAAGCATCTTTACATAAACCCTGGACATTGTTTTGAACTGCCAAAACATAATGGAGAATAAAAAAATATTTTCTCAAATGCATACACTAAAATCTCTACAAAGGATAGCAATAAAACTTTATTTTTTGCGATTGTTACTAATATATAATCTATGTTGTTTTCTTCTACTAATGCTTCATAGGGGAAAAAATTTACATAGAGTAATTTGTGGGCTGATGTGGTCTGGTGTCTAGTAACAGTCTGTCAAATGGCTCTTTGTACAAATAAGTCTGCCTTGGAGATCTTGGAGAATGGAATGGGCAAAATCTGTAGCTTGCACGGCCAAATAGTTCTGCTTTTCACACATATTGTCCTCCTTCTGCCTACTCTACATAGGACTTCACTGTTTTTCTTGTCTGCCACTTATTACCACTAAAATTCATGCATTTCAGAAAGATGGCTATTGACTTTAGAATGCAGAAGAATGGGCAACATGAGTGTTGCTCAGAGAGATCAGCCCACAAATAAATGTGATAGTATCAAGTTTATTCTTCATGTTCTGAAATTTCTGCAGCATTTAGCACTGCTACACACACACCATATTTACTCATTATAATATTCTCCTAGACAGGCAGCATGGTATAGGGGATAGAGAGCTAGCCTTGGAGCCATGAAGACCTAGGATCCAGCCTTATACCTTGCCCCATCTTGGCTTTGTTACCTTAGCCAGAGGTGGAGAACCTGTGGCCTCAAGGCCACATGTGGCCTTCTAGGTTCCTGAGGGTGGATTTTTGACTGAGTCCAAGTTTTACAAGAACAGATCCTTTTATTAAGAGGATTTGTTCTGTAAAGTTTGGATTCAAAGGGCCACACTTGAAGACCTACAGGGCCACATGTGGCCTTAAGGCTGCAGGTTCCCCACCTCTGCCCTAGGCAAATCATTTAATCTATCAGGGCTCTAGGCAATTCTCTAAATCCAGAGAATTGCAGAAAAGGTACCAACCTGTGCTGGTCAGGGGTTTCTTTGTGAGTTTTCTACAGCAATTAAATAATGAGTCCCTGTCTTTATCTCCCCATTCCAGTATCTTTGCCAAGAAAACCCCAAATGGGTTCCTGAAGAGTCCAACTGAAAAATGACTAAACAACAAAATTCTTATTTCTAATTTACTTCTAACCATCTATTTCAGTTTCATTATACATTAGAAAAGACAAGTATCTAATGGGAAAAAAACCCAGCATACCATGAAAAGGAACACCACTTTATGTATTCCTTGCAATTACCAACCACATCCTTACCATCTCACAAATCACATTCCCTGAGACAAATGGGCATCTAGTGATGTTTGATAAAGAGTATCTTATGTCCTTTGATTTTTATCAGTCAATGATGCTATCTGTCTGGCTTTAATGAGTTTAATCAGAGATATCTCTATTTCAAAGGTACTAGATACTATGTGTCAAGTGGCACTCAGTACATTGGAGATCTTGAACGGGGTAAAAGATCTATAGTTTGCAATAATTAGTCCTGCTTTTCATACTCATTTCCCTTCTAATCCTTGCATTTTCCTTACAGTGACTTCACTGTGTTTCTTTGCTACCACAGAGCACTCTCAGTTGACTTCCTTGATTCTTTGTCTCCAAATTCTGTTGTACCTTATCTTCCTCCTTAACTCCCTCTCCCTCTTTGGTCTTTGTATCACCAGCATCTAGTATGATGTGCCTGGAAAATGGTAGGGATTCAATAACACTTGATAAAATGAATTGAATTGAACTGAACTGAATGTTTGACCAACTATTCCTCTACTCCATCAGTCACTCCTCATATCCAAATAGTTGCTTGTTGATTTTACCTTCACAATATGTCTTGCATAGTTGCCTTCTCTCCTCTGACACTGCTGCTACTTTGGTACAGGCCCTCCTTGCCTCACACCTGTACTATTGCAAGAGCCTGTTTATGAATCTGCCTGCTCTATGTCTCTCCCAACTCCAATCCATCCTCCACTTAACAAGGAAAGTGATTTTTCTAAAGGTTGTTGTGAACTGATCCAACCATTTTGGAGATCAATTTGGAACTATGCCCAAAGGGCTATAAAAATGTGCATAGCCTTTGACCCAGCAATAGCACTTCTACAGCTGTATTTCAAAGAAATCATAAAAATAGAAAAAAGGACACACATGTACAAAAATATTTATAGCAGCCATTTTTGTGGTGGCAAAGAATTGGAAATTGAGAGGATGCTCATCAGTTGGGGAATGGCTGAACAAGTTGTGGTATATGAATATAATGGAATACTATTGTGCTATAAGAAATGATGAACAGGCAGACTTCAGAAAAACCTGAAAAGACTTGAATGGACTGATGCTGAGTGAAGTAAGCAGAACCAGGAGAACATTGTACCCAGTAACAGCCACATTGTGCAGTGACTAACTTTGATAGACTTAGCTTTTCTCAGCAATGCAAGGATCTATGACATCTCCAATGTCTCATGATGGAAAATTATATCCAAATCCAGAGGAAGAACTATGGAGTCTGAATGCAGATTGAAGCATACTATTTGCTCTTTTTTTTCTTCTGTTTTGTTTTGTTTCTTCTTTCTTGTGGTGCCTCCTGTTGGTTCTAATTCTTCTTTACGACATGACTAATGTGAAAAAATGTTTAATAGGAATGTATATGTAGAATCTATATCAGGTCGTGCACTGTCTTCAGGAAGAAGGTGGGGAGGGAGGGGGAGAAAATTTAAAACTCAAAAGCTTGTGCAAGTGAATGTTGAAAACTAAAAGTAATTAATTAAAAATATGGCTTTTTATATATCCTATTTTCTATTATGATTTTGATTCAATTATTTTCCATAAATGTAATGTTTTAGGCCCTTCTGGACCTGTAAATCATTTATTTAATAAGTGAGTGTTCAAATTTAATTTTATTTCTCTATCCTTCAGGAATTTGTTAAGAAGCTCCAATCCAAACAAGCAGCCATAACAGCTGTAACTGAAAAGGTGAATAAGCTAACACAAGGACAAGAGTCTCCTGAACACAAGGAAATAAATCATTTAAGTAACCAGTGGATAGATCTCTGCCTACAGACCAACAATCTGCACTTGCAAAGAGAGGAAGATCTTCAAAGGACAAGAGATTACCATGATCGTATGAATGTGGTTGAAGTATTCTTAGAAAAATTTACCAAAGAGTGGGACAAGTTGGCCAGGTAAAGAAGGTTCTTGTCCAGGACAAAACTGAAATGTTTTACCAAATAGAATCGAATTCTTATCCTAGATAAGAACTTTTTATTCTCTTTCTTTTTTGTATTTTTGTTTGCTTTCAACCAGAGGAAATACAGGAGTTAATTACAGGCTGATCTTACTGTCCTGGTGTGCTCTGTTTCTAATCTAGTCTGTCTCCCTCTTCTTCAAGCAACCTAGGTATTCACCATATTAACCCAACTGGTTTAACCCAGTGCAGCTCAGAACTCCCCAAATCAAGCTTTTTGTTTGTTTGTTTGTTTGCTTGCTTCTTTTCCTTACTGTAGTGTGTTTTCTCAGTGACTGACTCCTTACAAATAATTTTATTTCCAAGCTTTGATGTAATTAGGATTGCTGCGACTTAGTAAATAAAGAATTTTGCTATTTAAAAAAAAAGCCAGCCTCAACCTCCCTGGCAGCTAGGATTACAATTTTCCTCCAACAGAATACAGCATGTTGGGGTTTGTTTTTTTTTTTAACTAAAATTGAGAGATGGAAAGTTCTAATATAACAGTATTCCTGCATTCTACCTGTTTTTTTTAAGTTGCTACTATTTGCAAGGAACCATATGATATAGACAACTCTTCCTCACTTAAATCCAATTCACTTTCATGTCACAGCACAACCTCCCTGATATCATGTTCCTCTTCAAGAATGAAGGACAAACAGCAGCAGCAGCAATAATGGTATAGAAAGGAGGATAAAACACAGTTTTTGCTTTCATGAAGCTTAGGTATTCACTCAGCCTGTATCGCCTAGACAAGCTGCTTGTAATTTTATTACTGCTAGGTTCCTCTTTCTTTCTAGAGGAGTACAATGCCCAGCTCACAGTCTTCTTGTTTACTTTTACGTAGATTCTCACGCTAAAGGAAGACAGAATAGTATGGTGGAAAGAGCACTGACCCTGGAGTTAGAAGATGCAGGTTCAAATCTTGCCTCTGTTGAATAATTTTTGGTCATTTAGCTTCCTTAGGCTTCATTTTCCTCAGCTGTAAAATTAGAGGGTTAGGATAGAAGACCTCTGAGGTTCCTTATAGCTTTAAATTCATTCTTTAATTTTGAATATTTTGTGCATCTATCACTCCCTACTCAATCCCCATCTTTTCATCTCTAATAGAAGCCCTCCCTTATACCAAATAAATATGGTCATGCAAAAAAAAAATCACTTTGGCTATGTCTGAAAATGGATGGCTCATTCTTTTAGACTAATCTCTCCTCTCTCTGTCAAAAGGTAGAAGGAATTCTTCATGGTCAACCTGTCTTCATTCTCTCACCTCCTTTTCTCACACAGCTTCAGGTATCACTTATATGCAGGTGATTTAACTTCTCTTCCAACCTCCAAGACCAGAATCTCCAGCTATGGAAAGAACATCTCCACTGTAATGTTCCAACCACACCTCACAGTCGAACTTGCACAGATAGTAACTAACTTACGGTCTTTCTCTGAAAACAAAAACAACCCGCTTCTTTTCGTGTTTTCACTATTTCTCTCAGTAACATTACCATTCACTGCAAAACACTGTAATCGAAACCTTGATGCTATCATTATGGGTTATGTGTATATATACATACATATATAGATATATGTGTGTGTGTGTGTGTGTGTGTGTGTGTATATATATATATATATATACACACACACACACATATATAATATGCATATATGTAAATGTGTTATATACAACATATTATTATATATTTAGATTATATATGGTATAGAGAGATTTCCATTTCTCTTATCTCTCATCTCCAACTGCTTACAAGTGAATTCTGTCTCTTCTTTTTCTTGCATATGCCACCTCCTCTTTATTTCCACTGACATTACTTTAGTATAGGCCTGAATTACCATTCATCTATACCACTGCAATAACCTCTTAATAGGCTCTCTCCTCCTCCTTCCACTCTCACTTCTCCATTCCATCCTTTCATCTGATACAGACTAGTATTCCTTATGTGGAGATCTAGTCATGTCACTTCTCTGCTCAAAACATTGTGATGGCATCCTATTGCCTACTGGGTAAAGTTCAAACTCTTCTGCTTGACTTTGGGGATCTCTATAGTTAGGCACCATTCTGCTTTTCCAAACCTATTTTAATACTACGCTTCGTGACTCTTGGACTATTCACAGTTCCCTTAACATACCCTGCTCTTTACTTTCCTACATCTCTATCCTTTATTTACACTGTACCTAATATTTGGAAGGCTCTTCTTCCCTGTTCCTTAATTTGTTGAATTCCTACCTTTGTAAAAGAATTCCATCCTTTTTAGAAGCTCAGTTCAAATTCTAACTTCTCTTCACTGATTGTTTAGGCTGGTAACAACGTTTTCCTCTTCAGACCTTAAAACCACTTTGTTTCAGAAATTTCTGTTTTTTTGTTATTGTTGTTATCTGTCTTTTTGTCCTATCCCCTTTCTAGCTTGCAAGCTCTATGTGGTCAGAGAGTTTGTATTATCTAAACTTTACACCTTGTCAATGCTTAGCACACTGCTCTATACACATTAAGTATTTAACAAATATTTATTGAATTGAATTGAACTGACCATAGAGTACACAAAGGTGAACAGTATGAAATAAGACTGGAGAGACATATTTGACCTAGATCAAGGAAAACTTTGGTACACTTGGCAAACGGCTATCAAATGGCCTAGTTGAAAGTTATTTGTTATACTATTTACTTTTCAAGAATTAAATACATATAATTGGAAAAATAATAATATAAAATTATTTGAATTGAATATGAAAGTTCTTAGATACTGGATGAACATATTTACCTGATTATACGTGTGCCAATTTATTTACAGATCAGATGCTGAGAGTACAACTGTGCACCTTGAGTCATTGAAAAAGTTAACATTGGCATTGAAAGAAAAAAAGCACATTATTGAAGACTTGAAAGACCAGAAACAGAAAATGATAGATCACTTGAATTTAGATGACAAAGAGTTAGTCAAAGAACAGACAAGTCACTTTGAACAGCGCTGGTTTCAGCTTGAAGACCTTGTTAAGAGGAAAATCCAATTGTCAGTCACAACTTTAGAGGAGCTAAATTTGGTACAGTCCAGATTTCAGGAACTAACAGAGTGGGCTGAAGAACAGCAGCCTGGAATAGTTGAAGCACTCAAGCAGAGCCCTCCCCCTGATCTAGCTCAAAATTTGCTCATGGATCACCTTGCCATCTGCAGTGAACTGGAGTCCAAACAGATGATCTTAAAATCACTCATTAAGGATGCTGACAGAGTGATGGTTGATTTAGGCCTCAATGAAAGACAACTAATCCAGAAGGTACTCTCTGATGCACAATGCCACGTCAGTTGCCTCAGTGATTTAGTGGGTCAGAGAAGAAAACACTTAAATAAGGCATTATCTGAGAAGACCCAGTTCTTCATGGCAGTGTTTCAAGCTAGCAGCCAAATTCAGCAGCATGAGAGAAAGATCATGTTCCATGAGCACATTTGTCTATTGCCAGATGATGTTAGTAAGCAGGTCAAGACTTGTAAGAGTGCCCAAGCCAGCTTAAGAACTTATCAGCATGAAGTCACTGGCCTTTGGGCTCAAGGGCGTGATTTAATGAAGGAAGCAACAGACCAAGAAAAGAATGAAGTATTAAGTAAGCTTCAAGAACTTCAGGGCATCTATGACACTGCTTTACAGAAGTGTAGCCAAAGGTTACAAGAACTGGAGAAGAATTTGGTTTCTAGGAAGCATTTTAAGGAAGATTTTGATAAAACTTGTCATTGGCTAAAACAAGCAGATATCATTACATTTCCTGAAATAAACCTGATGAGTTTTAACCTTCATGGCCAGCTGGCAAAATACCAGTGCCTTCTTGAACAATCTCTTGAATTTGAAAACCTTCTGCTAACCCTCCAAAGAACTGGACAAGCAATCTTGCCATCACTTAATGAGATGGACCATTCCTACCTCGATGAAAAGCTGAATTCTTTGCCCCAACAATTTAATGTTGTTGTGGCCCTGGCTAAAGATAAGTTCTACAAGGTACAAGAAGCTATCCTTGCTCGGAAAGAATATTCCTCCTTGATTGAATTGACTTTCCAATCTCTAAGTGAACTGGAAGACCAGTTTGTAAACATGAACAAAGTCCCCACGAATCTGTCAACACAAGAAGCCTCGTCTCTTCAAGAAGCTTGTAGAGTTCTTCTTGGAGAAATTTTAAGTCTTGGGGCAGCAGTAGATGAGCTGAACCAAAAGAAGGAAGGTTTTCGTAGCACAGGTCAGCCATGGCAGCCAGATGAGATGCTCAAACTTGTTACTTTGTATCACAAGCTGAAAAGACAAACAGAACAAAGGGTTAACTTATTAGAAGACATGACAAATGCTTACCAGGAACATGAAGAAATGTGCCACCAGCTGGAGAAACAGCTAGAAGCTGTGAAGAAAGAGCAAACCAAAGTTAATGAGGAAACTCTTCCTGCAGAAGAAAAACTGAAAACATATCATTCACTGGCTGGAAGCCTTCAAGATTCAGGAATCCTTCTTAAGAGAGTGACCGGGCACCTTGAAGATCTTTCTCCAAATGTTGACCCCATGGCTTATGGGAAGGCAAATCAGCAGGTTAAGGCATGGCAAGAGGAGCTCACATTACTGACTTCAGGCATTAGCGAGACAGTAATGGAGTGTGAAAATCGACTGGTTCAAAGCATAGACTTCCAGACTGAAATCTGCCGCTCACTTGATTGGCTAAGACATGTGAAAGCACAACTTAATGGAACAATATGCTTAGATACGAAACTTCAGAATATTCAAGAGGAAATCCGAAAGGTTCAGATTCACCAAGAAGAGGTTCAGTCCAGCCTGAGAATAATGAATGCACTGAGTAGTAAAGAAAAGGAAAAATTCTTGAAAGCAAAGGAGCTGATTTCTGCTGACTTAGAAAACACCCTTGCTGAACTCTCTGAACTAGATGATGAAGTTCAGGAAGCCATCCGAACCAGACAGGTCAGTATATTGAGTTATACACACTGTAGTTGTTGGATGCGCAGAAGAGCTTGAGGGATTCAGTTATGTATTAGGCTTTTGTGGATCTTTCTTTTCAGAAACTTTGTATGGATCATAAAAGTACCCTGATAAAATAATTTTATTTGTTTTTTCCCATGGTCATGAGTGAAAACAAATCTTTCCTAACAAAATCTAAATCTTTTACAGCAAAATGTGACCTCGAATGTCAACAAGACGCTTATCTTATTGATGGGAATATGAAGGAATTTCCCTCATCATTTCAACCATTTGTATTGAATATTTAGGAAAGACCATGCTTCAAAGCCTAGATAGTATTGGCAATCCAAAGATGATATATATCACCAAATGATAATACAACTGACTTTCCCCCAAATCGTAAGCTGCTAGGTGGTATAGTGGATACCTCAGCCTGATGTCATGAAGAACTGAGTACAAATGTGGCCTCAGCCACTTACTAGTTGTGGAACTTTGGGCAAGTCACTTAGCCTCTCTCACACTCAGTTTTGTCATCTGAAAATGAGGATACTAGCAGCATGTACTTTAATGAGTTGTTGTAAGAATATGAGATGTTATTGTAAAGCATTTTGCAAACTTTAAAGTACTATAAAGAACTAGGGATTGCTTTTATTATTTTTCTATTTTTAAACCAGTAATGCGATGAAAAGTGCTATACAATAAATAAACTTAATTAACTCATAAATTTCCTTCCAAAAGAGCATTTCGTATTATGGCTAATACCTTGGTTTATAGATTGAATTGGGAAAATAATGTTGGCAAACAAGGACCAGGTTAAATTATCCCTGTCATTCTGATTCCTCAGAGTGGGTGCTGTAGTTGTCTGTTATTAATCTTAGGTTAGCATGAGGTTCAGAAATGATCAATCAGTGAAGATACAAACATGTGATACATCTACTCAGAAAACAAAACAAAACAAAAACTTTGCCCATCCTAGTCCTTGCACGCCGATGTTACTTTGCCAGTTCAATCCATTAAAAAAAAAGTAGAAAAATAACAAATTGAAAATACCCAATTAAACACCAAAATGAAAATCCTTGCACTTGGAATCAATCTGCAAATATGTGCCACCTTTAAAAATCCAGGAAAATTAAGTCCTCCATTTTCTAGAAGTTATATTTTAATAATAATAGTAATAATAATAATAACAATAATAATAGCTAACATTTATATGGTACTTACTATATGCCAGGCACTACACCAAGTGCTTTACAAATATTATCTCATTTGATACAACAACTGGGGGGTAAGTGCTATTATTATCCCTATTTTACAGTTGAAGAAACTGAAGCATACAAGTTAACTGATTTGCTCAGAGTTTCACAGTAAATACCTGAGGAGGGATTTTTTTGAACCAAATTAACTGATGGTTTATTTATTGGGTTTCCCATAAAACCAGCTCCTATTTTATATTTGTTTTATTTATTAGTTCATTTATTAGTTTTTATTTTCAATTTTATTCATCTCTCATGTTAAAGATTTTCATTTTGGTGTTTAATTAGGTATTTTAATTTGGTTTTTTCCTACTTTTTTTTAGTTGAATGCCCAGTTCATTGATCTGTTCTTTCCCTCATTTAATTTATGTAGGCAGTTAGGTATAAGAATTTTCCCTTAAGTACTGTTTGCATCCCACAAATTTTGGTATGTTGTCTCATTATTCTCATTCTTCTTAATGAAATTGATTATTTCTATGATTTGTTATTTGACCCACTCATTCTTTAGGATTAGATTTTTTAGTTTCCAATTAATTTTTCATCTATGCTTGTATAGTCCTTCATTAAATGTAATTTTTATTGCAGTATGATCTGAAGAGGGTGCATTTGATATTGTTGCTTTTTTGCATTTGTTTGTGAGGTTTTATTCCCTAAAACAAGATCAGTTTTTGTGAACGTGACCTGTACAGCTGAAAAAAAGGTGTACTCCTTTCCATTCTCATCCAATTGTCTCCAGAGGTTTATCATATCTTTTTCTAAAATTATATTCATCTCTTTAATTTCTTCCTTATTTTTTTGTAGTTAGATTTGTTTGTCTCTGAGATGGGAAAGTTGAGGTCCCCTACTAATATAATTTTACAATTTCCTCCTGTAACTCATTTAACTTTTTCCTTTAAGAATTTGGATGCTATGCCATTTTGGTATATATATGTTTAGTATTGACATTACTTCATTGTCTATGAAGCAAAATGTATTTTCCCTGCTTATTTCTTTTAATTGGGTCTATTTTTGCTTTTGCTTTGTCTGAGATTATGATTCCCATCCCTGCCTTTTTTACTTCAATAGAAGCATAATAGGTTCTGCTCTAGCCCTTGTTTTAATTCTCTGTGTGTTTTTGAGTTTTAAGAATGTTTCTTGTAAACAACATATTGTAGGATTCTGGTTCCTAATCTATTCTGCTACCCATTTCCATTTTATGGGTGAATTTATCATGTTCATATTCATGATTACTAACTATGCATTTTCCTTTATATTTTTTTCTATTTATACCCTTTTCCCTCTTTTTATCCTGTCCTTCTCAGAAGGGACTTGAATTTAAGACTTCCAGTCTTGACTCCAGTCTATCCATTGAGCCACCTGTTACATCCTTTTCCTGCTTAAATATATAAGGTTTTTCCTAAAATTCAGGGCACTTAATTCCAAGGTACTGGCTACAATCAATTTTGGCAAGGCCTTAAAGTTTTCTGCAATTTTCTGGCTCATTGACTGATTTTCACTAAGAAATATTGAGTATCCTCATCTTTGGTCCCACTTAGAATCACACAGCCCTCTAATCAGAAATACACTAGTAGTTCAATTCAACCTGTTCTTCATTTCAAAAATAAATTGTGAAGCCTGTTTTTTCCATTCTAGGTTAGCACTGTTCACTGGACAAGAGATTGAGACATATTACACAAAGTCTGGAATCTATCTATTCCTAGAATAATTTTTGTCTTACACTTACATAGCTGTATATTACCACTTTGTATAGACTACTGCATTAGGACAGGACTCTTCTCTTTACTGGTTTGTCACTGCAGGACAATTTTCTTCATGCTCCTTCAGACTAATGGCTAGCAAGGACATGGTGGAATTTGATTATATGATCTCTAAATCTATAATTGTTCAGCTTTTATGTCCTGTTGCATTAGTCAACCCCACCTCCTAACCTCATTTTATACCCATTTTATTGTTTCATTTCTTAAATCTTCTTTCTTTAAAACATTTCTTTGGAAATTTCTCTCGCACTTTGTAACATTTGCACAGAGACTTGGCTTTTGTAGCACTAGCAAGTATTAGGAGCTCTACTTTTCTTCAAGTTGGCCAACTAGGTAATCACATTGAATTGTTGAGTATGCTTCTTCCCTTCTTCAGCTCATCAGTTCTCCTCTGCTGCTTTTGGCATTGCTACCTTCTTAGGGACCATTTCTGTACTACCAGAACTTTAAAAAAAAAATCCTGTTCAGATTCAAGGCAGTTCTGGTTGCTTAAGGTTGTTGGAAGACTGACTTCTGGATTGTTGAATGGCTGTTTTATTCTGAAGAAACATTTAGTTTGTTGCCCATTATTAAATCACCTAATAATATCAGTGATGCTATAATAGGGATCTTATACATTTTAATTCAGACTTTATTCTTAAGTCATTGAATTTACTTTATCTACAATTATTGTTTTTATAGGCCACATTGACTAAAGTATATAAATTGTGTCAGAAGTATTATCAAGTATTTCAGGCAGCTAAAGACTGGCTTGAGGATGCTCAAGAATTGTTACAGCTGGCAGGCAGTGGATTGGATGTGGAAGGCTCAGAGGAGAACCTGAGAAGTCACGTGGAATTTTTCAGTACTGAAAATGAGTTCCGTAGTCATCTGGCAGAACTTCAGGGTTTGGTTTCTAAACTGGAACCATTTATCAAAACCACTGGAAAGGAAGAACTATTGCACAAGGTGACTTCCTTGGAAGAAAAAGGCAAGAAAGTCATTCAGGAATCCCAAGTCCAATTAGACCTACTGCAAAGGTATCTCTTTGGTTTTCTATTTGTTTGTTTGTTTTTTTATTTTTCAAGTTGAATGAAGAGACTTTTCACAGTAGAAATCAGAGCACACTAATTATATACATTAGTACCTACATTTACTCTAGGTTCTTTTGACGTCTTTAGATGTAATTAGAACCAGAGCTCTACATAGTAATGTGTGATTCCACGTTATTTGTTCTCTGTCAGTGCTTTATTGGTATCACATCTTTTCCCCCCTCAGATGTGCAACTCAATGGAAGGATTACCAGAAATCAAGAGAGGATGTTATTGAGCTGATGAATGAGGCCGAAAAGAAGTTATCTGAGTTTTCTGTATCCAAAGCTTCTTCCAGTTGTGGAGCAGAAGAAAAATTACTGGATCACAAGGTAAGATCTGTAGGATTGGCCTTATGTAATTTCAGTGAGCTTCTCTAAAAGAGGCTACAAGAAAAGTTCATTTTAATCTTTGTTTCATTTTCATCCAAGCCCCATAAATGTGAATAATATACATGAATCATTTTCCAATTAATGATAAGTAACTATCATCAGTCATTAGGATCCTCCATCTGAAATTCCTTTCCATGATTTACAAATAGAGGCACTTCTATGATTTTGTAAGAAAGCATGTTGACGTGGCATGCCTTTGAAAGGCATGGCAGTCAGTGGGTGCCAAGCAAATGCTGATTGCTGGCGATGGTACAGAATGGTTCTAATCTATCCAATAAATTAAAAACTACAACTCTAGGCTCTTTTGCAGTAATTTCAGTAAAGCCTGAATCTGAATAAACCTCTGTACCCAGTCCTGTTCAATTATTTTTATGAAACTAGTTAAAATATGGACTCAACAAGATATCTCAAATATTGTGGGGGGAACAGTCACTTTTAATAGATAACCCTGTTCTCCTTTACTTAAAAATAATAATTTATTCTAAGATACTTTTTAAAAATCAAGAAAGCCTCTGTAACCTCAAGACATTTTTAAATTTAGGGAAAATCTTTCTGTGGAGAAGTATAAACCCTTTGGCACCTACCCCATTCAAAACATTCTAAGAATTAAAATTTGGTATCATTTATTGGCGTATTAAAAAAAAACTCCCCATCTTTGCTTTATTGTTTCAGTCACTAATATCTCTAGTAAGCTCCTTCCATGAGAGGATCATAGCCCTAGAAGAAAAGGCTTCTCAGTTAGAGAAAAATGGAAATGATGCCAGCAAGGCAACTATCAGCAGGTCAATGACTACAGTCTGGCAACGCTGGACACGCATTCGTGCTGTAGCTCAGGACCAGGAGAAGATTCTGGAAGATGCAGTGGATGAGTGGAAAAGCTTCAATAGCAAGGTAATTTTCCTTAGTACGTTAAGGATCATGAGGCTAACTTAGATCATCTAGACTAAATCCTTGGGCCCAATGAGACTACACAGCTCACCTCAGAGTAAATCGCAGAATAAAAATTCTAATCCTGATCTGCTGACTCCCAGGCTCTTAGTAAATGGAACGGGTTTTTGTTGGCTAGGTCACTTTTACTATTTTAACTTCTTGGACAAAAGAAACAAATATGTGATGTTAGAATATATTATTCTATCCAAGTTTAGAGTCAGACTAACTTTAGAAAATACTAGGTGAAATCCCTTTTACAAGGCTTTCATATAGAATGTATAGGGTTAAGCAGGTTCTTGTCTGTCTGTCTTCTCCAGCTGGCTGTAGAAGAGTGTAAAGTGTGCAGATTAACTAAGGAAACATGGAACATAGCCCATTGCAGTCTGAATAGTTAAATCATTTGTCAAATTTCCTTCATCTCTAAAATAAATAAATGCTTCTAGATAAAAACTGAAAATCTCTCCATTCAGCTTTTGCTAAGAGTATTTCCAAGAATAATTTTGACTTCCCTATAACATTGATGGCTCCTGGCTATTCTGACATTGGAACATCTCCCTGAGATGACAGGGAGTTACCCCTGTCTAATTCTGGTGTGATCCTCCAGCCCTTGAGAGGTTACACATTCATTCTTCAACTGGCCCTAATATGTCAAGGCCAAGTTTGATAGAATGGCAAGGCCTAGGGGGTAGAATTGCCTTTATTTGAATGTTTGCTCCTCTTCGATTTTCAATAGTTTCTTTTGTTATTTATAAACATTTTATGTGCATCCTTAGGTTCAAAAAGCCACTGAAATGATAGATCAGCTACAAGATAATTTACCTGGAAGCTCAGCAGAGAAAGCCTCAAAAACAGAGCTCTTGGCACTCCTTGAATATCATGACACATTTATTCTTGAGGTGGAACAGCAGCAGGCAGCTCTAGGTGTACTAAAGCAGCAGGCTCTGAACATGCTACATGATGGGGAGGTAGAGTCATCTACTGAAGAAGAGCTACCTATCACTCAAGAAATCACAGCAATGCAAGATAGATGTCTCAAGTAAGCATTCAGTCTTTCTATTATATAAGAATGACATGAGAACATAAAAATAAAATAATATTGCTTTTTTAAAATCTCTATATCATTGGTACCTAATGCAATGCCTTGCACATTGTATGAATGTCTGAATAAATGAAAAGGCATGTGTGAACAGCTTGCTATGTGCAGAGCCCTAGAGGTAAAAATAGAAAAACAAGACAATCCCTAAGCTCAAGGAACTAACATTCTAATAGGGGTTGTGGGACAACCTTATAAGAGGCTTCAGCTACAAGGCAGATTTAAGGGCCTTATCATTCTAAATATGCAGTAGCAAAACTACTATGCAAAAAAAAGTTTAGTGCACCTTTTTTACTGTTATTTCCATCAATAATACCAGATCTAATCTTAATGTTGAACCATTTGATAGTACCAAAGGTCCTTTCCTGGGTCTTCTGTAACCTATTGCTGCTGAGAAGATGAGGGATGCAGCTGCCAGGCTGCTTCTTTACAAGGATTGCCCCACTAGACAATGGTTTCAGGGGCTTGGCTGGAATCAGGATGTGCAGGGGTGTTGCTGTTTTCAGGACAATAAGGCTAATCTGTCTTTCAGTGACAGTTGGTTAATGGTTGGTGTTGGTAATGATTGCTAAGCATGGTGGGCCCTTTCTGCAAAAGGTTTGCTCTCCTTGGCGATGTCCATGGGGTCAGGCTGGAAGTAGGAGTGGTGGTCTTGAGGGGTACTGTTATTTTGATTCTTTGGGGCAGAGGATCCTGGGAGGTTTTCCCCAAGTATGAAGGCATATGGTGGTAGTAATGTTTTGCCCCACTTAGAACAAGCTACTTGCTGATTCCCCCTCAGGATGTCTTGCTACTTCAGCTAACCTGACTTACCTGCCTGTTGTAGGCACTTAATAAGCTCTTTTGTGTAAAGGAATTATAGGAGCTTTGCTTTAAGATGGTGCTTCTAGAAGCCCTGAATCAAATGGAACATATAAAAGAGAACGCAGGAATGGAGATGTGAAGACACTATTGCAAAATCCATAATGAAAAGTGTTGATGGATTAGATTAGAATAATATCAACATGAATGAAGAAAAAATGATGTATATGAGATTAATTACAGTAATAGAATTGACAGTACCATGTCACAGAGAGAAGGAGAGGAAGGAATAATATAGCTGAGATTTCAAGCCTGAGTGACTGCATCATTAGCAGAAATAAGGAATTCAGGAAGCAGAACAGATAGAGGGATATAGATGAAAAGTTATATTTTGTACATGTTGGGTTTGAGGGGCTATCAGGACAGCCAGGTGGATATGTCTAGTGGAGAATTTGACATACAGTTTCTTACTTTCACTTGTGTGAGCAGCCAGGACATGATATACTACTTTCTGGAATCATTCACAGAGACTTGATAGTTGAAATCGTAGGATTAGCTATAGTTTAAAAATATTGAACCGACTAAAAACTAAGATGTTAAGTATAGCATTATCTTATTGTATGCTTTGTTTTAAAATTTTGGATGAAGTTACTTAGAATAAATAGAGCTATCCATTGGCTAGATACTAGAATTATATGTAATTATATATAATATAAGCAGCCAGGTGGTACAGTGCATAGAGTGCTGAACTTGGAATCAGAAAGACCTGAGTTCATGTACTGCCTCAGTTATTTACTAGTTGTGTGACCCCAGGCAAGTCACTTAATCAACTGTGCCTCAGTTTTCTCATCTATAAAATAAAGATAATAATAGCATTTGGTTCACAGCTTTGTTATAAAGATCAAGTGAGAAAATATATGTAAAGCTTTTTGAAAATCTTCAAGTGCTATATAATTATTACTTATTATGAAGCTCTTTCTAATTATTATAAAGCTAAGCAAACATGCCTCATTAAAATGTGACATATGTTACAAAGCAAAATGAAGTGGCTCCCTGGTGAAGCCACAGAATAGTTTAGTTGAAAAAATTAACCGTAACTAAGTGGCACAGAGATTTAGTCAACTCTTAATTTTCCATAGTCCAAATTGGAGTCTGTTTCATACCTTCATTTTTTTTACATTCCCTGAAGTAAACTGCATCAGGAAACTGTTAGGTAAACACAATACATACTTGCCCAATAAAATTCATGCCACATCATCTCTTTATTTGTAAAGTTGTAGGTTTGTTGTTGCTGTTTTAATTTTAGGTTTTTTTCTTGGAGATATGTATTTGCTGGGTATGACGATCCTAGATTTCAGAGGTTTGATTTTTTTTCTTTGGACTTTATGTTTTAATATACCTATTGTTTATTCTACCTCAACTTCACTTGAAGTTTCTCCTTTTGATATTTCTGTAGCATGCAGGAGAAAGTGAAAACAAATGGGAAGTTGGTTAAGCAAGAACTAAAGGATCGTGAAGTAGTGGAGACCAAGATTCATTCAGTAAAGTCTTGGATTCAGGAAACAAAAGAATATTTGGTGAATCCTACAATGGAAATAGATGCTCAACTTGAGGAACTGAAGGTACAGAAAGGCTGTTTTATACCCCTTCTGAATATCCAGGCATCCCTTTTGGTATTACAATACATTTGTGAAAATTGTGAGTTGAACCTTTTCACAAAATTGTAGAGCACATCGAGTTTAGTAGTGGTTTTGGCTAAGTGAGTTGAATGTTAAAGTTAAAGAAAGTGTTAAAGAGACTGAGATTTTGTTCAGTCATTTTTTCAGTCATATCCAACTCTCTGTGATCCCATTTGAAGTTTTCTTGGCATAGATACTGAAGTGTTTGACTATTTCCTACACCAGCTCATTTTACAGATGAAGAAGATGAGGCAAAGAGGTTTAAGTGACTTGGCCAGGGTCACACAGCTACTAAATGTTTAAGGCAGGATTTGAACTTATGAAGATGAGTTTTCCTGACTCCAGGCCAGGCTCTCTATCTACTGTGCCACCTAGCTTCCCAGATAATGAGAAAGTAAAGTAAAGTAAATGGAAGTAAATGGAAGTAAATGAGGGAAGACTCCTAGTTTCCACCACCTATTGAGGCCTTTATACCACAGAATCTTTTTGGAGAGCCAGGTTTCCTACAATGTTTTTGCCTCAATCTTAGCATGTCTGCAAAATGACCCTGGAAAATAACTACAGGGTTTTTTTTAATAAAAAGAAACATTTAATACATATTATCAAATGATAGAGAAATTCTTAGCTTAGAAATGTATATGCCAATCTAGTATAAGTTTAAACTACTAAATATGAACCATAAAGGGCATCACTGCTTAACAGCATACAAACTCAATAATAATCACCTCTATATAATAAAAATAGAATTTTTAACAATAGCCTTAAACATGTAGACCATATAAAAATTCAGTAGATTGTAATGGACACCCATCCTAAATTTAGCAGTGCTTGCCTTGAACTTTAGAGCACATGGCTTTTCCTTTCAATGTCAACAGGAAGGGAGTGGCATACAACAAAATCTGTAAGTCCCCTCTATTTCTTCCTAGACATAGCAAGGGAAAAGGTCCTGAGTAAAGCTCAAAAAGTTCTAATCTCATCCACAGCCAAAAAAGAAGAGAGGTTAAGCTCCTGCTCCATCTAGAGAAGGCAAAAAAGAAAGAAGTAGGAGCAGAGCCTTCAGGCTCTTGCCCCTCAGGGCAGTCAGGAGAGAAGACCAGGAAACAAAGGCAAGGACTAAAACTAGAAACCCTGCCTCCTATTTCTGGTTAACCTCCTTCACAGCCTCCTACTGGCTTCTCATCTCTCTATATATGAGAATGAGACAGTGTTTATCTTTAGTGAAAGGGCCATTGGGAAGAAGCCAGTTTGGAAGGAAGGGAATGTGACACCTATTAAGGGATCCTTTATGAAGGATCACTTTCCTTATGACACTTTTCTCAGGATTATATTCTTTATAGGAAATTTACCTCTCCATGACCATCTAAAGAATATCCCTATATTGGCAAGAGCCAGATGGGGGAAGAAGGATTATTTTACCATCCTCTCACCATGAAAACACAGAAGGTATCAACTGTCCAGCAGTATATTACCAATAACTGGAAGAATTTAGAACATAATTCCTGAGCATACAGGTATTAGTAATGAGAACATTACTAAGGAAAGTCCTCTCTCAATAGGTTGATGAAACCTACCACATTGCCCATCACACAAAGAACTGAGATGACCCTTAACAGTGTCTTTGTCACTACTATCCACAAATGTGGGCACAAGCTAGAGTTTTACATGGTTTTACCCTATTTTTGTACCCAACTACAAGTTGTTATGTGGGGAAATTCTTAGCTTAGCAATGTATATGCCTATATATATAGTATATGTATACTATATATGTATACTATATTTATATATATATATGTGTGTATATATATATATATATATATATATATTATATATATATATATATATATTATATATATATATATTTATATATATATATGTATATACTATGCATCATATGCAGACCGCTATTCATGATAAAGTTTCCTCTTTATAATATTAGGTGATCAGAAATGATTTGATTTTTGGTTTTGTTTATAGGGTCTCATGACTGAAGCCACCACTCACCACCAGGCCATTGAGAAAATGACTGAAGAGCAGAAAAATAAATACCTGGGTCTCTATACCATATTACCTTCTGAGCTCTCTCTTCAGTTAGCTGAAATAACAATGAACATAGAAACTATACGTGATCAGGTAAAGGCACTCCACCTCTCCTTTTTTAAAAAATAGCTTAAAAATTAACACCGTAGGAAGTTTCCTTCTTTTCCAGAAAACACTCCTAGGAACTTTATCATGGCAGATTATTGTAAAGCAATATGTATTTTTCCATAGGGCTACTGTTATTTGATAAATGTGTTCCTGACCAAAAATATAATATCCAGTAATAGATAGTTATGGGGTTTACCATTAAAGCAAAAAACAATGTCCCCTCCCTCCTTCCATGCTCTTTTCCAACCACTGTAACCCCCTAAAAATCTCCAACTGCCATAAGCCTATCACAAATGTCTTAATGACATTTCAACCAGTATTTTCCAGCACAGTGCTGATTTTAAGACAAGAAAGTACCTTTAATGAGTCTTTGTAAAGGGAACATCCTTGATTAGATCATGAATGAAATGCTGATTCAAAAAGCATGGTCACTAATTGATATGCCATCAGTTCCTTTGAGTTACTTATACTTGTAAATATTGCTTAATTAAATTTTTTTTTTGCAAAAAACAAAAAAATCCATAAACCTCTGATAATTTTAAATCATCAAGTTTTGCTTCAAGTCCTATAAAATGTACACACATATACTGTATATTTTGATTATGTAAAGGGGCCCAATGTATATAAATTACATTATATGTTAATATAGCAGAACTCCATTAGTGGCCATTCCCTTCACAGGTGCACTGAATAACTCATAGGAATCAAAATGATAACAGCCTGTTACCATATATAGTATGTACATAGTCTTTGAGGATTGCCGAGGCCAAAAATTCATTACCTTAGTGGTCAAACTAGTGATGAGCCTTTCCAAACTGAACTTATTCTTAGACAAGAGACATAACTGATAGAGCTTTTGGATAATTGGCATGATAAAGAGTGAGGATATAAGATTGACTCTGAAATTATGGACCTGGATAATGTTGCTCTTAAAAGAAATAGGAAAGTTTGAAATAAAGGTAAGCTTGAGGGAAAGGATAATGAGTTCTGATTCAGATATGTGGTTTGAGATAGCTACAGGACATGAAGTTGGAATGTCCAATGAATCTCTAAAGGGATTATTTTCTAGTGGGACTAGTGATTAGGAGGGAGACTAAGATCTTGAGAGGTATCTATGTAGAGAAGATAGTGCCCGGCCATGATGGTTGCTGAGGTGAGAGAGCAAGAATGATAACAAAAAAGCATAGAGAAGAAAAGAGGCCAGGACAGACTCTCGGGTCCAATCACAATAAAGAGGTATGATGTGAATGATGATCTATCAAAGGAGACTGAGGAGCAATCAGACAGGTAATTGGAGGTAATTGGAGGACCAAGAAAGAGCAGTGCAATGAAAACTGAGAGAGGAAAGTATCTAGAAGGAAAAAGTGGGCAACAGTGTCAGATGTTTTAAAGAGACAAAGAAGGAAGGTGGAGAAAAATCACTGGATTTAGCTCATAGCTGTAAAGGATGAGAAAAAATGCCCAGCTATGAGGTTTACAGTTTAAACCCACTGAAGGATTTTTGAATGAGAGAGGATCATAATCAGACCTGTGCCTCTGCAAAATATTTTGATAGTTATGTCAGTGATGGATTAGAAAGGAACAGACCAGAGGCAGGGAATCCAGCTAGGAGCTTATACAATAATCCAGATGAGAGGTGATGAGTACATGAATTAGGAAGACAAAGGGGTGTAGTTCTGTATTGTGGAGGTGGAACTCAGAAGAGTAGTCTGTCCATTTTCTGTGAAGCCAGTAAAAAATTTGAGAGGGAATGGCCAAGATAATTCTAAGCTTTGGAGTGACTCTATAAATGCAAAGAGGTTTGGAGAAGAAATGAATGAAGGAGTAGAGATGAAGAGTTCTGCTTTGGACACACTAAGTTTGAGACATTGCCAGAATATTTGAGTTAATATGTACCAGAAGCCTGGAACTGAGGATTATAGTTCAGGTGAGAGAACTGGCATGGCTAGATAGCTTTGGGAACCATCTGTACAGGTGTAATAATCAAACATTTTTTCCATTTCACATTCCTCTTTAGTGTATTTAAAGTTTTAAGTTTAAGCATTCACTGTAAAATCAAAGCAGTGCCACCAGTAAGAAAAAATACTGTTGTCATTTTTTCTCATCCTTTACAGCTATGAGCCTATTGAAATTTTGTTGACATGCCATCAGGGCACTTCTTACTTAGAAATTTTTTTTTAAATCATTAACTGAACATTAACATGAAAGTCAAAATATCTCTTAGTGGAGAATTGCTAAAAAAAATTGAGATAATAATTCAGTCAAGTATTTATTAAGAGCTTATATGCCAAGCGCTATGTTAGGCACAGATATATTAACAATATACTGATTATACATGTGTTTTTATTCAGATAATAAATGAAATATCCATAAATGTGAAGAAAGGCAAGGTGTTAGGTTTGATTAATCATTATTAAATGAGAGGAGTTTTAGAATCTGTTGCTGTGAAAAGTGAGATGTGGCTGTTCTTGATTTAAACACACTAGTCCAGAGTTTTAATAACTACTTCAATTAGGGAACAGTGTCATTGCAGGTGTTCGATAAGTATTAGTTGGTGGTCATAGTTATTGTGGTTGATTTTGCTGTCACTGATCTTTTAGATCCAAGCCAAAGAAAAAGAAACCCAGAGAAGCAAAGCAATGAATCAGGAATTCAGCCAAAAAATTCAGAAGACAGCAAAAGAGCTCACAACTATTTTGACCAAGCTGAAAGCAAAAACAAATGATTTAGCTCAAGCTAAAATTGATCAGAAGGTAAGTAAAGAAGAACAGTACCCTGAGTTGATACTTTTAAAAATAGAGACTGAAAGAATGAAAAGAAAATTAGGTGAGAGTGATTATTGTACTGATAACAGCATACAATACCCCACCCCCCTCATTAGCATACTATAAGAAAAAAATAGAAATCATTCAGGAGATATATCATATTATCAGGAATTGTTATCGTTAGGCACAGTATAATTTGTAATTATGACAAGATTATATTTAGAAAACTTTAAGTGAAATTAACTTATTTTATAGGAAAGAAGCTCATGAGAATTCATGCAAATTAAGAATTTCAAAGAATTCCAATGTGGACTGTATCATATAAAGTAGCTCAATTTCACATCTCTATTTCTTTGTCTTTGAAATGAATATAAGTATTCAAGGTGACTGACTATTGTGAAGAGCTAAATGAGTAGTGATGTAGAAATTCTGGAAGTTTATATATGTCAGTAGATAAAATAATGTAAAATAGAAAATCATATAGGAGATTATTTTTTTGAAAAAATATAATGTATACTTCTTAAATATTGTGTACAATAAATAAATAGTACTAAAATGTTTCTCTATAGCTGATTAGATTCCTTGTAGGACATAAATAAGTAGGCACTTAGCTTTGGGTTACAGCCATTTTGACCTTGGCTCCTTACTCACATGTAGTCCTATCTATAATGCTTATCATCTCTCCTACTTCTAACGGCACTGATTTGGATAACAACAACATGCTAAACCATTGGTAGCTTCAGAACTTAATGAAATTGGCATGTTTTAGTTCCCATAGGAGTAAATGTAAATTTTAACTTCTTGCTTTTAAAGATGAACAGAAAGTAGGTCAGGATTTAGGGAATTGAGTTATTCACTGATTCATCTTGGGTGGAGCAATAAGAAGGAAGGAAAGGAAAATGTTACCCACCTCTCTTAGGCTCACAGGAAATAAACATCAAGATGATCCCATATCCACTCTGCCTTTTTAGCCAGAGAAGTAGAAATAAACCATAGTCAGAGTAGCACAATTCCTAAATGATATAAATAATAAAAAGTAAATTTTAAGACCACAGTCTTTTTGAATCTGGAAAATTTGGAGGAGTGGATTTGGGGAGGTATAATGTTTTTGATTTTGATATTTATTCTAGGCCCTTGGAGAGGAATTAGATGGTTGTAATATAAAGCTAATGGAACTAGATGCAACTGTGCAAGATTTCACCGAACAGAATAGCCAACTGGCTAAGCAGCTGGCCAAGAGGATTGGGAAACTGACTGAGCTTCACCAGCAGACCATTAGGCAGGCTGAATACAGGATCTCCAAACTCAATCAGGTAGGCTTTCAAATCTACCAATCAGTATCCCTTAGGCCCTTCAATGTTTCTGTTTTTCTTTTCTTTTTAAAGATTGTGACTATTACATATGACTTGCTATAGAAGGGTTCTTGAAAAATTGTACATAAATCAAAATATTTTAAGTCAAATTACATTTCACATGCACTGAGAGGCAGATCAGATAAAACAAGTATTTGATGAATCCTTTTGTGCTGTGAATAAGCAGCCTAAGAAAATGCTGGAGATCTCTGTTTTCTGATCACAAGATCATAGACATTGTAGTAGGTAAAATATATGTATCACTTTCAGGTTTGCAAAGCACTTTACAAATAGTCCAATCCCTTCATTTTAAAGATGAGGAAACTGAGACTCACAGTGCAGTGCTTAGAAGACTTACTCAGGGTCACACATTTACTGAGTGACGGGTATTAAAATTCTCCTTACTCCAAAGTTCAGTGTCCCTTCCATTGCACTTTGGTGAATATCAGTGCTAATGGAAGGAGCAGCACAGGTAATACTACAGAATGACCTACACACATGTTTTCCAAGACACTCTGGGTATTAGTTCATGCACTAAGAAGCGTATAGTTAGATCATAAGTTTATTTTTTCCAGAAAGTTTTGCCAAGACTATCTTCTTAATACCCTTCTATGTCAGTTAGTCAATAAACATTTATTAAGTGACTGTTATTTGCCAGGCACCGTGCTAAGCTCTAAGGATACAAAGAAAGGCAGAAAACAGTCCCTGGCCTCAAGGGTCTTACAAGCTGATGGAGGAGAAAAGCATGCAAAAAGCTATGCATAAAAGAGATATATCTAGGATAAATAGAAAATAAGCAATAGAAGGAAGGTGGTAGTTCTTCATCCTTCATTCTTGAAGAGGACCAGTGACATCATGACTATATACAGAAGTGATTTAAAAGATATGTGTCAGAGGCAGCTAGGTGGAGCAGTGGATAGAGCACCGGCCCTGAAGTCAGGAGGACCTGAGTTCAAATCCGGCCTCAGACCAAACACTTGACACTTACTAGCTGTGTGACCCTGGGCAAGTCACTTAACCCCAATTGCCTAAAAGCCAAAAAATAAAAAAAAAATTTAAATAAAAAAAAGATATGTGCCTTCACATTTACCATTTTAAAGGAAAGGTATTAGAATTAGGCAGACTGAGAAAGGCTTCTCGGATTTTAGCTGAGACTCGAAGGAAGCCAGGGAAGTCAGGAGGCAGAGAAGAGGAAGTATTCCACTCCACGAATGAGGGCCAGCCAGGGAGAACGCTTGGAGTCAGGAGATGGATTTCTTTTTTGAGGAACAGCAAGGAGAATGATATCATGGATTTAAGAGGACATGGTGGAGAGGAAGGTGTAAGAACACCAGAACAATGGAGACAGAGGGCTAGGTTATGATGAACTTTGTATGTCAAGCAAAGGATTTCATATTTGATCTTGGAAGTGATAGGGAAGCTCTGGAGTTTACTGAGTATAAGGGTGACATGATCAGACCTGCGATTTAGAAAAATCATTTTGGCAACTGAATGGAGGATGAACTGGAATGGGGAGAGACTTGTGGCAAGCAGACAGCCAGCAGGCTCTTGCAATAGTCTGAGTGTAAAGAGATAAGGTCTGTACCAGGATGGTAGGTAGCAGTATCAGAGGAGAGAAGAGGGCATATTTGAGAGAATCCAAGATATAGGGGACATGGAAAGATTGAGGACTTGAGCTTAACACCTAGGTTATGAGCTTGGGGTGCTAGAAGGATAGTGGAGCCTGACATATTAATATGGAAGTTCAAGTTTGAAAAGGGAGAGGATTTAAAGGGAAAGATAATGAATTATGTTTTAGATATGTTGAGTTTAGGATGTCTATAGGACATATAGTTTGAGATATCTAATAGGCAGTTGGAGATGTGAGACTGGACATCAGCAGAATGATTAAGTCTGGAAAGGTAGATTTGAGAATCATCAGTGTAGAGATAATAATTGAATCCATGGGAGCTGATGAGATAGATCACCAAGTGAAATAATAAATAGGGAGAAGAGAAGAAGGCCCAAGGAAGAGACTGTTTGAGAAATTATCAGTTTTGTTTCTTATGATTGTTTTTTTTCTTATTCAGTAACTCTGATATGCCTATGCAAATAATATCACATCTTCATTCATATAGACTGTGATTAGTTGTTCCAGTTTTAATTATCACGATTTAAAATTATTCTGCTCAAAGTATTAAAATTTATATACAAAACCACAACAGGCTAAAAATATATTTTGATTCATGGTATGATCCTTATTATGCATTTCCCTCTCTAATGGAACAATGATTTGCATATAGCAGGTACTTCATGTTTATTGACTAAATAAACATAGCCTGTTTACACCCTCTAGTAATTAGAACTTTTCAGTAAGCAAGCCCTTGTACATTTGTTTCTGACTTTTTCAATAAGTAAGCAATCAGGAAAATCAAGTCAATATAAGTTAACTGGTTATAGTTCTATCTCTACACCCTTAATAGTCCTTAATGACAAAGGAGGTCACATCAAATTGTGTGGGGTAGAGGTAATGGAGAGGAATAGTAGCCCTAACCACAGAGAAACTCTAATGTAACAAAAAGAACTTATTAAAATGATCGTAAAGTCATGTATATTTTTCTTTTTGGTTTTTCTTCCAGGTAGAATTCATTTTTTTAAAAATTCAATCTAATTATATCCTATTCTATTTCATTTATTTATTAAGTAATTTTTAAAATTTATTTATTAATTAGATTTGTGTAAAATTGATTACTGAGGTAGCTATTGAATTCATGTAAGGCATAATCCTTAGAGAGATTATTGTCTATGACTATGAAATTATTTTAAAATTACAAATTATAGTAGCTTTACAAGGACAGTGTAGAAAGCTTTGATTTCTTTAACCAAAAAGTCTTGTATCATGTTGATTTTTTTTAGGCAACTGCACATTTAGAAGAATATAATGAGATGTTGGAATTCGTAATGAAATGGGTAGAGAAAGCTAAGGTCCTGGTACATGGAAATATTGCTTGGACTTCTGCTAGCCAGCTTCGAGACCAATTCATTTCATATCAGGTAACTTTGAGCATTTGCTTTCAAATAGCACCTGAGGATATAAGTTGACATAAAGTTTCCTTATTGTGTCAAATACAATAGGGACATCATGAAAAAGTATGTCCAGTTGATTAGTGAAAAGGAGGTTAGGTAGAACCTAGAAGTTTGTTTTGTATTTATTTTTCCTCTGCAAAGTTCTAGCTCATTCAATTTGTCCCATTTCCCATCATGATTTGGAAGTGATTTGAGAATCATGATTTTGGCAGCCAACAGAATATCTATCCCCTCCGGATTCCCATTATCTACAAATTTGACAAGCATAATGTATCTCTCTTTATCAGAGTCATTGATAAGAATGTTTTTTAAAAATGTCCAAAGACAATTGTGAAGTGTGCCACTAGAAACCTTTCTCCAAGAAGAATTGAACCATTAATCAATGTTCTTTGGTTCCCGTCATTTAATCAATTTTAAATCCACCCAAATGTGTTATCATTTAGCTTATAGCTCCCCATATTATCCACATAGATCTCATGAAAGAGTTTGTTAATCACATAAATGAAAATTCAATACATTATATGTTGTATTTTCTACCTATGTTGTAGAAGAGGCACTGAGGCGTAGTGGTTAGAGAGATAGCTACAAAACCAGTAAGACCTGAGTTCAAGTTCTGTCCCTGACACATACTGGCTGTGGTACTCTTGGAGAAATCATTTAACCTCTTGGTGCTTGAGGCAAATTCCTAAGGCTGTAGGTTGCAGAATGCATTGATAGAGGAAGTTAGCTCAGCTGGAATTCCCTATGAAATCATAGGTCCGTTCTTTATCCTTATTCCTGTGTTGTATCCACTAGTTATCAGGGTGTTGAAGGGGAGGAGGAAACTACTAGGTATGATTTTTTTTAATGAAAAGTTCTAGCTCCAAGTTATCAATATTTCCTTTTCTTAATGTTCATAATTAATTCGCTTAATAAAAAAAATAATTTAGAGACTTGACTGTTTAATGCATCTTTAACTTCTTTATCTGTTTTTTTATCTGTTAAATAGACAATTTAAAAAGCTGAATTTGATATCACAGATAATTTCTTCTCATTCCAGACCATGCTAGAGGAATCTGGAGAAATTCACACTGATCTGGAGGCCATGAAAGAAAAGATAGAATATCTCAGCAGCGTTTATTGTACAGAAGGCATGTCTCAGCAAGTGTCAGAACTGGGACGAGAGACGGAGGGGTTACGGCAACTTATCAGATCACGTTTGCAGAGTCTCCAAGATGCTGCCAAGGTAAATGAAGGACCCGTCATTCCAATACTTGTCATGCCACCATCAAGCCAATATTCAACTCTGACATGATGGCTCTTTCTTGGTTAACATTTGTAAAACTTTGTTCTTCGAAACACTCATAATTTATATTATACTCTGGTTGCTCTACTTTTGGTTTTCTAGGATATGAAAAAATTTGAAGCTGAGCTAAAAATCCTACAAGCTGCTCTGGAGCAAGCTCAGAAAACTCTTACTTCTCCAGAGTTGGGACGTCTAAGTCTGAAAGAACAGCTTTCTCATCGACAGGTAAAGAAAAAATAAAAATAAGGAAGTGATTGAATGGATAGGTACTGTTTCAGCAATGTAGCCTTTGCAAAGAACGATGTTTGGCTTGAATTATAGTCCTAGTTATACATAAATTACTTTGAAAAATTTTTTATCTTGGGAATAGAACCTTATGACCACCAACCTTTTTCATGAATTATTTTTTCAGAAACTGAGATAGAATGTTAATTTTCTTCAGGAATTTTTCAATTTATAACAGTTTTTTAAATGTGTTCTTTTTCTATTTTGTTTGCTGACAAGAATCTGATACACTTATGAGAAGTTTTATTTTATATCATTTGTTTGGTTTTAGGTCTGTTTTATATAGATTGTTATATCTAGGGCCTGGGACTTGGTTTGATAATCTAAAAAGGTCTTAGTTACATGTTAAAATTAGCTGTTACTTAGTTAAAATTTCTTAGGGAGATTAGATCTTTGAAGTCAACATTCGTCTAAAGGAAATAACCTACAATTTGGGAGCCCTAAAATAGGGCTTTCAACTAATTTCTTGCCACAGCCAGATATGCCAGCCTGACTGGCAATTTTTTTTTCAGTTTGTAAAAAAAAAAAACCTAGAAATGAAACATCAGTAGTGATAGAATTAAAAAAAAAATCTTAGTGGTTCCTTACAGAACCCAAGGAATTCATATAAAGAATTCATTAAACCCTTTAGGATTTATTGATTTATGTGCTTAATGATTCATATTAATGCTATTTAATGATTATCCTGTGTATTACTGAACAGTTTAGATTAATGTGAAGTTAAAAATTGGAGTAGCCAAACTGGATAACTGTCTGGAGTGAAAAATAAAATGAGTATAGGTATGGATTGAACATATCTCAGAAAGCTAAATTTATTCTTTTTTTTTCTATTGCCAGTGAAATTTCATTTAATTTTTAGAAAATATGACCTACCTGGACAACAAGTAATGAGACTGTGGTGTGATTTCCTTCATTTTGTGTCTGCCTCTTACCATAATTAAACCTTTTTATGTTTTAAATCTTATTCACAACTCAATAAAATGTGATTCTTTTTTTTCCCTCAGCATCTTCTGTCTGAAATGGAATCACTGAAGCCAAAGGCGGAAGCTGTGCAAATTTGTCAGAGTGCTCTAAGAATCCCCGAAGAGGTGGTCACTAACCTGCCTATATGCCACATGGCTCTCAGACTCCAAGAGGAAGCCAGCCGTTTACAACACACAGCTATTCAGCAGTGCAACATAATGCAGGCAAGTGTCAGACACACAGAGGGCCTTCTCTACTAACCTCTATTGTATGATATGGAGCACAAAAGAATGATTTACATGTTTTTCTTAGATCCATGCATTCTTGGCAGCCCAAATATACCCACAATGTTCAATTTGGCAGACTGTGTCACATAAAATGCAAAGATTAAGCTGTGAATGAATCCTCTATCATTTGGATCAATTGAAATAAACTAGAGAAAGCATTGGAGTAAATAGTAGAAAAAGTTGAAAAATTGTAATGTTTACATAAACAGGGATATGTAAAAGTTAATTTTGTATGGCATTATCTCTGAGAAGTCAAAATATCTTAAAATAACACTGTAACAGATATACTCCTGTGCAACATAATAGTTTCTTCTTTACTTTTTAAAATATTAGCAAACTTTCTTACGCAAGCTTTAATTCTAGTTTCTATGCAAAATACATGTAAATCCCATTTTGAGTCTTCATCAACTCACATCCAAGTCTTCTTCCTATTCAGTTACATCAAAAACAGAAGCTTACTCTTTTCCATTCTGCTCTCTTTTTCTACCTTCTTTATTTTTAAATTATTTTCATAATCAGTAAAGTAATTGATTAATAAGTTTTTCTTAAGTTCATATTATATGCTAGATATTAATCAAAGAAAAAGAGAAAATGGTCCATGCCTTCAAGAAGCTTACATTCTATTGAGAGAGGGAACGTGGTACATAAATGAGTGTGTGTGTGTGTGTGTGTGTGTGTGTGTGTGTGTATGGAAACATACATATGAGATAGAGATTATGTATTTTTGTATACACACATATTTTTATAAATATGTAAATATAATATATAATAATATAAATATAAAACATATAAATATATATGTGTATACATTCCTATGCTTTGGAACTCAATTTTTTTTAAATTAATGTAAAAAAGTTTCTACATGTAATTGAAAAATATTAAGCTGAATAAATAATAAAATTATAAAATTATAAAGCAAAGTAAAAAAATATTAAGAAGGGACATAATAAATGTTGCTTTGCACTTTTCAGAAAAATTTTAGGATTTTGGACAATTAACTATAGGCTTGACCCCAGCTCTGAGTTCAACTCTAGAGAAAATTTCTGAAACAAAGCTTTGTTTTGACTCATGTTCCTTCCTAGAAACATGCTCCGTAAACAAAGTACATCAAGCAAAGGGCAGCGATTTATTTCCTCCACCACAAAAGCAATACTTAGGACATAAAAGACTGGCAAATATTTAAATCAGATACAATACCCTATCACTTACATTCTCATATATTGATTCTTAAAAAAAAATTAAAACAAGAAACACTTTGTGCAACTGGTGAGTAAACATTTCACTTTACTTCTGATCTATATTGTTTAAGCAGATTATTAAAGGTCCATAGGGTCCATATTTTGTGTCAAGTCAGGTATGGCTTGGGCTCATTATCCTATCAATGTATATATTCTCCTATGAGAAGTATTTCAGAGGTTACCTCCTCCTGGTTAACAGGCACTGGGACTCAGGATGTCCTAACTGGCTAAACTCACTCATAAAGTTACCAGCAATGTTGGAAAACATCCATTGGAATCCAATGTTGAAAAATATTAGTAACATTATTTAGTCACCTATCCTCAGGAAAAAAAACAACAACATAAAATTAGAAGAAGCTGCTAGAGACTTGTGGTTCTGTCTTAGATTCACCTAGAGAGCATGAGCTCTGTCTGCTGCGTGTGAGCAGCTTCCATAGATGCTTGGGGAAAGGAGATATCTCCTACCTCCCCTACTTTGGAAGTCTGCAGGAAAGCTGTAAAAGTCCCAGCATGCTTGAGAAATGAGATGAGAGAGTACAGTCATCAAAGTTTTCTATCTCTTTAAAATCCCCTGACTTGGCAGTTCTTCCCGTTCAATAGCTGTTCCTCTTTGAAGCAACACTCTCCCCCACCTCTAGCTGTCATGATGGGAACTAAAACGATTGCTTCTTCATCCTACAATGCAAGTCCACAGTGACCAATAGGGGCTTGTTGTATCATCCCAAAGCACAAATTCTTCAATGCTGATCCAAAAGCCCACGTCTCTGTGGAAGTGATCTAGGGTCCAGCAGAGCCAGGGAACTCCCTTAACTATACCCATTACCATTATAAAATGTATTGCAGATAAGCTAAAATCTTAAATAAGGAACATTGAATGCAGGCCATCTCTCTCTCCCTCTCTCCCTCTCTCCCTCTCTCTTTCCCTCTCTCTCTCTCTCTCTCTCTCTCTCTCTCTCTCTCTCTCTCTCTCTCTCTCTCTCTGGCACACGCATACACACACACACACACACACACATGCACACCCACAAAGAAATATACATGCACACAAAATTTTGTTTTGTTCTGTTTTTCCTTCAGCTCAGGTGTTACTGACTCCATGAAACTTCTCTTGAACCTCCTTCACACCTAGTTATTAATATTCTTTCTAGGTGTTATTATTAATATTGTTAATAACTAGTAAATATTTTTTTACTCCTCCAATGATATTATGTTTGCTTCTTTGTGTACAGTGGAATATAAACCCTTTGGAGGGTAAGGACTGTCTAATTTTCTTTGTAATTGCATTCTCAGTACTTGGTACATAGTAGGTTTTAGTGATTTTTTGAAAGAAAAGGAAATCTAAAATGACCTTCCGTGTGACATTAAAGCTTAGAACAGCAATGTTACCTTTGTCTCTATTTTCCAGCATTAAATGAAGTTTCATCATATATAATTTCATTTTATATAGTAATTGGGGAAAAATGGAACTTTTTTTCTATAGGAAGCAGTGGTGCAGTATGAGCAATATGAACAAGAAATGAAGCATCTACAGCAATTAATAGAAGGAGCTCATAGAGAGATCCAGGATAAGCCAGTGGCCACCAGTAATATCCAGGAGCTACAAGCCCAGATTTCTCGTCACGAGGTAAAAACAGAGACTCGCTTCAAATGCCAGACAGAGTATACTGCCTTTGTCTTCAAATCATTTTTCTTTAACCATTCCTCTGATTTATTTTGTAAGTAGGAGAATAAGCATGGATTACAATGTCTAGAATCTGAAACTAGTTAGAATAAGTAAATATATTTTATAAACCACCACTCGCTCCAATATTGTATTTCAGAATAATGATATTTACATGCAAAAATATAATGTTATGAGTATGGAAAGCATATGTTTGGAAGTTATAAAATTGTCAATTTAAGTTTAATGAAAGGAAAAAGTTCCTAACAATTAGAGGTGTCGAAATGTAGAGTGGGGTCCCTAGAGAGGTGAGAGGTTCTCCCTCACTCAAAGTCTTCAACAGAGGCCAGGTGACTTCTTGTAAGGTATATCGTATTGGAGATTTCTTTCTTGTATAAGTTGAACTAGATGTCTTCTAAGGTGTTTTCTAACTATCGTTATTATTATTAACTTTATATAGTGCTTAATGTATGTCAGGCACTATGCTAAATGTTTTAAAATTACCTCATTTGATCCTCACAACCTTGGGAAGTAGGTGCTGTTATTATCTCCATTTTACACGTGAAGAAACTGAGATAAACAAAGATTAAGTGACTTACCCAGGGTCACCAAGTTCCTACATGTCTAGGGTGAGATTCTGTGATTCTTGATCTGTAACATCGTCTTGATTAGTAGAATCATGGTTTTGGCTGAATAATATTGTTTGACTCATCAATACTATTTAATCCATCTTGTAAGATGTTGATTTTTTTCTAGAGATCTTCAAACAATTTTGTTAAAAAGATCTTCAAAGTTAAGCGAATGAACATGTTACATATATCCATACTTTCATATACATTATATATATATGTATATGTTATACTTAAAGTCTTTCCTACTTGAAATAAAGTTACACTGCCTCATTATGGAATTGAGAGGTGACTCTAAATTCTTGAATCTGTGCCAGTGGAACCTGAGCTCTGATAGAAGCTATGAAGCTGGGAAGGTTTCAAGTTCCATTTTGTTAATAGATTTTTATCTGCTGTCCTAGCTAACTACCTAGAATCAACCTACCTAACTTAGCATGATGAGGCTCATTCCAAGAATATGGGCCACTATGTGATGACTTTTTTGGCCAGGTCTACTAACAAAAAGGGTGAAAATTAAAAACTAATTTCCTATTTAACATATTTCTCATTTTTGCCATGTTAGTGGGAGGAAAGGGAGCTTAGGACACTAAACACTTCATTATGGGACTATCAGCAAACATCGGTTAAACTGATTACATTCTTAATGTGTGATCTTTATCAGTGATCAACAAGTTGGCACTACTGCATTGAGAATCCTTGCTCTAAGTAAAACCAGAAAACATAAAGAAATTGAAGCTAAATGAAAAGAAGAGTCCTTGATAAAAGACATTGATGTAATTTCATTGGTTTCATTGTATCTCCAAAGCCAACATGAAACATCATTTCAGTGGACTTTCGGTCACCTCTCTTTAAATTACTTATTTTAAGTATGTAAGCAAGCACAGTACTGTTCTGGTAATTGCAGCTTATATACTATCATCTATTGCAGAGGATGAAGAAGTAGGAATAGTCTATATATAACTTGACAAGATACTATGAACTAAGTCAATATAGATCTCCATACTTGGTAATTTTAAATGTGAAAATGGGAATCAAGGAAGTTAGCAAAATATGTATATTTGGCATGTAAGTGTGTGTGCATATACACATGAAAATATAGTTCAGAATCAAGAAATTTTAAAAAGTCAAAATTAGATTCCCATCAACTGGGGAATGGTTAATGGAATATTACTGCACTGTAAGGCACAGTGCATACAAGAATTCAGAGAAGAATGAAAGACTAGAACTGAGGCAGAGTGAAATTAGCAGAACCTAGGGAAAATACATGCATATACATACATACATATATGTGTGTGTTTATACATACATAGATACATATATATGTATATAACTTTAGCTACGTAAACAAGCAAAAAAAATTTCATACTGTGCAATTATAATGAATAACTGGTCCTAGAGAAGAATTTAGAAAAGTCGACCTCTCTCCCTTCTTTGAAGAGATAGAGTTATGGGGGTGAAATATTGCATATACAGTCTTATGGAGTTGTTGTGTTGGGCAGTTTAAGGAACTCTTATTTCTTCTTTTTTTTCTTGTTACAGGGGATAGCTTACTAGGTAGAGAAGGGGAGAGTGATATATTCAGAAATAAAGGTGACTTAAAACAGGGAACAATAAAAAGTGTTTTCAAAAAAGAAAGCTGTCAGAAACCTAATATTACTGCATCATAGGTATATGAATGATGGAGGGATAAAGGGAGGGAGGGAGAGAGAGAGAGAGAAAGGGAGAGGGAAAGAGTGAGGGAAGGAGAAAGAAAACACATTTATTAAGCAATCATTATGTTGCAGCCACTGTGCTAAGTTCTAGCAATAGAAATTGTATTGCTTGCTCCTCAATTCCCTTTATCCTCAGATCTAATTAGGGGAAATAATACATGAAGAGGAAATGGGAAATGGTAATGGGAAGAGGAAGGGTGCCTGTGTAGGGGCAGCTAATAAGGAGTCTTGAGAGAGTTTAGTGATGAGTAAGGTGAAGCATGGTTGAGACTCTTAATAAAATGGTGGTCCCAGAGAAAGAGTCCCCAGTGGGGGGGGAGTCCCAGTGTGAGGGGTTCTTGGGGTGGCAATTTGGCAAGCAAGGAGTCCAGAGAAAATCTGAGTGTGAATGAAATACATCATGAATACTTTGTCCAAGAAGAAAGTTTGAAGTACATCACACACACCACACACACACAAACATGCACGCATGCATATACACATACACACAATGTATTTGACTGTATCTTACTCAGCAAAAAAAACTAGTTATTGATGTTTGAGTCATTTCCGAAATCAGTTCTCCCCAATTCAATTAGATCACTAATTAATCAGAGCAAAGATCAAAATTAACCCCAAAATAAAAGAGAGAACAAGAAGTTACCACCAAAAATTATAGCAACTCCAAGCTGACCTGCTTAATCAAGCTGTGGACTCCCAGTGCATAAAATGGGCAAAAGTAAAGACTTTGACTCTGATTATCACCATTTTAGAGAAGCTTTATTTTTGCAAAACATATTCCAAGAGGCACTCTTCAGCCATCAAATCTACTTTAGCCATCAAACATTTAACTTTTTTAAAGAAAACATGCCTGCACACACATGCACACATACATGTTTGTGTCTATATACATTTATAAAGATATGCACACATACATACATATACACGTGTGTTTGTGTGTGTGTGTGTGTGTATGTGTATGGTGGTATAGTAGATAAAGTATTGATCTTGAAATCAGGAAGATTCATTTTATGGCCTGAAAAACTTACTAGCTATATGACCCTGGGCAAGTCACTTAACCTTGTTTTCCTCAGTTTTGTTACCTGTAAAAATAAGCTGAAGAAGGAAATGGCAAACCACTCTAGTATCTTTGCCTAGAAAATCCCAAATAAGGTCACGAAGTCAAACATGACTGACATAACTGAACAACAACAACAAATATCTATCTACACATCCACATCCACACATATGTATCTATGTATCTATCTTTGTATATATTCTGTTTAATCCAGATTTGAATAGGAAGAGTATAGGAAATGGCATAGTGATTTGAGTGATCTTAAGCTGCTTACTGCTTTTAAAATTCTGTCTTTTTAATAATACTGTTTTCCCCTTGATGGTATGTGACTATACATTATTGAATGTAATCAGATTAATAAAAATTATAGGTAACTGAAAAAGTAATAGACAGATATTTATAGTGGAGAGAGAGTGACTCTGCAACCTAATTAATGAGTCATTTTGCAAAAAGAAGAGGCATAAAGCACATATCAAAGATATATATCTTGAAGAAAAATGAAAGTGAGCTGATTAATATAGTAAAAGTGATTGATAATGGTGAAGGGAATCTTCATACTGATTAGGTCATAGATTTTTAAAGTATTAAAAATTAAAAGTATTAAAATACATATAAAATCCCTATTGGCAATAAAGTTTAGTTACAGTTTTTCTGTATCATGTAATTTTTATTCAAATATAAGAAGTGAACTAAATTTGTAGAAACTAATTTCAACCAATTGTACTATGACCCCATAACTTTCTCTTTCCTATACAACTAAAGCTTTTAGAAATCTGAATCATATTAATAAAAAGTAATTTTAATAAAATTAACTAGTAAGAACTTAAGTATTGATAATACTAATTACTGTTACATTTTGCACTATGTAAATGATAGCTTGAGTACCAATTAGTGAAGTTCCAAAAACTCACCACAAGATTTTCCACAGGGTATTAAATTCTTTTGTTCAGAACAATTCTCAAAAACCATCTTCTTCTTCTCAGTTATAGAAATGTTGGCGTATACATGATAAAAGAATTGCAGATCAGTGAAGTGATAAAGAAATAAAAATCTTGCTCAAATAACATGGTCATTACTAAAGAGAAATTTCAAATTGTGAATTTAATCAATCATGTTTTAAATATTCATTTAAAAACAATTAGTCTTTGCCACCTCATAAATCTGTATCCTACATATAAATCCTGGTTGACATTTCCTAGTCAATGACATTATCAGTGAATTTTGTTGATAATAGTACCTGTGTCAAAATCATTAAGTGATCATTATTACATTATTTGTCAGTATGCTAAATTACCTGAGTTGTAAATGAATGGTGAGGAAAAGCATTTATTAAGCATTTTTATTGTTATTGTTCAGTATATGTCTGACCCTACCTGACTTGTTCATGGAATTTTCTTGGTAAAGATATTGGAGTGGTTTGCTGGATCCTTCTCCAGTGCGTCCCCATTTTGCAGTGAGGACTTGAGGTAAATAGGTGCGAGGTGACTTACTGAGGGTGGCACAGCTAGTAAATGTCTGAGGGTGGATTTGAACACAAGTCTTCCTGATTCCAAGCTTTATCTTCTG